AGTAACAATCAAATAACTTCACACGATCAAAAACGGGAAGCGACCGTTAAACTCCTCTTTAAAATGTTGGATACTTTGTTTTTTGTAATTTAATATAGGACATTTGTCGCAAAATTAACGGTAATTGGTGCGAGAAATGGGGCATTGAAATCGTGCTACAGGTATAGACACTGATGAAGTCTCTTTTTAAACAGTACCTTTGCATCCATAGAGCTCCGCCCTCATGGACATGTGGCCATGGTGAGTTTTCGGACGGAAACGGATATAACGTGCCCTGATGGGTGGATTCAGGTCATGTGCCACTACCGTGTCCTGATCGGTGTTCCCATCAAATTCCTAAACCGTAGGGAAATCGTAGGAAATAATTTAGCTCCTTCTGGTAGTAGGTAATATGATTAATTTTCGCTTGCATTTAATGGCAAATTTTTTTTTTCGTTCTATCTCGAAAGTTCACGTCTTCTTGAGAGTTCCACTAAATATGAGCGATTAATCCCTAGGTGCATGATATGGAATCAGATGTCCGTCTGTTTTTGGTGAAACGCTCTTAAAGGTCTTTGCCTTTAAAAAGTGATGATGATTGTTTTACCTTGAGACTCTTTTGAACAAAGTCCGTTGAGTAATACGAACTCCATTGAAACGAAGCCCTTTTTAAGTAACTGAGCAACCGATGGAGCGAACGAGCGAACGAGCGAACGAGCGAACGAGCGAACGAGCGAACGAGCGAACGACCGATCGAAGAAAAGAGCAAACGAACGAGTTAACGACCCACCGACCGACCGACGATCGAACGATCGAGCGAATGGACGAATGAACAAACCGAAGGACGGACGAATGACCGGACAGACGAAATGATCAAACATTTTCGCTCTAAGTCGTTTTTTTTCACGTAACACAGGGTGGATAAACGATCAAACGTCTGCTACTAAAGTAAAATATTCGATGAAAATTATCGATCCAGTAAGAACAGGGAAGGCCATTTAAATTAGATTTGCGAGAGATGGCTAAACCGTCAAACATGCTGTTGGACGGAAATTGTGGCTACGGTCAAATCTCATTTTGAATAGATTCTGCTCTTTCTACCCAAGATACATTAAAACATAGATTCGTTAATGTGAAATCATTTCCCTGCGTATGTTGCGAAGTAAAAAGTTATCAGTTACGCGACCTAACCTTACCTTGTGTGTCGTTTTTCCATGCTCCATGTAATATTGAAAGTTCATTCCATTATCACTGTACTGGAGCTTGTACTTTGTCACCCACTGCCCATACTTTCCCGTCCTTCCTTGAGTGGCAACTCCTGTTATTCTGTGCCTGCTCAGTAGATCAACCTGGAGCCACTGGTTGTCATCATGGGTTCCAGCACACCACGCCCCTGCTTGGTACTCTACGTTTAGTCTACCACTTAAAACGGAGTGCCCAGAGTTATATTCTGAAGAAGCGCTTAGCTGTAAGTCAGTGATCGCTCCGCTTTCCATGCCGAGAGCTCCTTTACAATCTGCAAATGTAATCGGGACAGACCGGGTGGGAGGCAGATTAGATTAAAAACGATATACCTGCCGATGTACAGTAGTTGGGGATTTTAAGCAATCAGGACAGCAACAATGAAGAGGACATCGATCGAAAAACGATATCAACTTTTTATTGTGGATTTTTCGAATGACTGGATGTGTTAACTATCTCTAGTGGTTGCAATGGCTAAACTTCCGAATAATTTAGTCTGGTCGGACACCATTTCAGCTTTAGAAAACTATGAGGCCAATTAACATTATCAAATCAGGAATAATCCGGTAATACCCACCCCCCTCCCACACTCACCGACGCAGCACCACACTCTGAAAAGAAAATTATCCCTTCATTCATTCAGCATAACGTATGTGAACAGCGATGAGTTGACATTTTTCAACAGAAAAGAAAATAACTCGGTTTGAGCAGCAAAGCCTTAAGCCCTTTACACTCTAACATCAGTATCCAGATTCTCCATGTATACTGTATACATGGATATATATACATTTACTAAGGTGCTGATAGGGAGAATTTGTTTAACAATCAAGAGTTTCTTCAGGTGATGATTATTTCCTTATTTTCTCTCAACCTTAACGTTTGATTCAGGGGTGATATTGTAAAGAGAAATTAGATGCTAGTCACTCTTTGGGGTTACAGGGTTAAGCAGGAACAAAATAACTTTACACAAATGGATTATCGAGAGTATAATCCTACTTCAGAATGCCGGATATATATATATAATTTTTGTAATTAAATCTGATGGATTATTTGTTGCAAAATTAACGATGACCCGTGCCTTATCTTGTACCCAGACTTTCCACGGTCAAGCGTTTGTTACATTTTAGTTACACGGTAGGGTCTGGGTACGAGATTAGTTGGTGCCGGCAATGGAGCACTCATATAAAACTTCGTGTAAGGATTCTGATGAAGTCTCTTTTTAAACAGTACCTTTGCATCCATAGACCTCCACCCTCATGGACATGTGGCTCTGGCGAGTTTTCGGACGAAAACGGATATAACGTACCCTGTTTGGTAGATTCAGGTCATGTGACACTGCCGTATCACTGATTAGGATACGGTAGTGTCACATGACCTGAATCCACCAATCATCTCTTGTTGTTAACAATAGAGTCATCCCTGCTTTGATTTACGTTTGTAATTACATGATACATCTATTCAAGTGCATTTGAATAAACATCTATTCTATTGTTACAATTGACTAATGAGCCCTGTATCTTTTGCACATTTTCTTAATTTTCACAAAAATCCATGATTAAAACGCTGGACAAAATTTATGTGAACGGTTTATCTTGTCGAACAGTTCTTATCATACAATAAATTTTCTACCGTGAAAACGGTTGGAAGTTTTGGATGGTTAGCCGGCTCTGCCAAATGGTAACGTGCTTTAAGTCCAGGTAAAAGAGCTTCGAAGAAGCGAAGTTTTTTGACTACTGTTACATCCCGACATGAGAGCAAACCTGATTCCTAAAGGCGGCCTAAAACCGAAAAAAAAATCTGAAGACAGACCAAAATAATTCTGTCTTGATCAAATCTAAGTTAATTCTTGGTTATCGCCGATCATGGGACAGAAACAAATGCTTTACATGCTACGTAACTAAGCTACAGTCAAAATATCTGATCCGAAAACATAATCAGTCCATAATTTGATGATGTTTAAATATTTTGTGTCATTTATTAATTTTAAGTCCTTAAAATGGTTCATAAGATTCCCAGATTCCCTGGGTCAATGAGTTAGCGAGCGAACACGTGAGCAAGGAAGTTCAATGAAACTTCTTGTAAAATATCATGGAAAAAAATTAAGTGTGTGTCTTGAATCTATCTAAGAAGCTTTTCATAATAAAATAGAGTATTTTGTGGTTCTCCCTGTATCTTCAACGTCCACTTGGTTAATCAAATAAACTTGTTTTTGTTATTGTCATTTTTACTCACCCAAATATCCTGAAGCAGCAGATAAAACAAACCACTGAAATTCCATGAAAAGCAACGAGAGGAGCTTCCAAAGATGAGCCATCGCCTGTTGAATGTTAAAACAAATTTTTTTTCGTATACGTACGCCTAATATGCGGAAAAGTTATAGAAAAAAGCTAAATTAGAATGAATTAGCATATAACAAAAGCAAACGGCAGTAGCATATATATCTTTATGTAATTTTTGGAATCGATTGAACATTTGGCTTTTTCCTCTCAGTTTTTGCTTTTTTCTACGAAAATGTTATCACGATTAGATATAAATCGGCTACTTTATCAATGCAGGTGCATTATGTGTGCTGTGTGTGATGTAGAGGTCGGTTGTAGGTTATAAATCTTCGCGCCAAAAACGCACACGCGCTGAGCATCAAATAGACCTTTTTAGCTTTTCCGTTTTGTTTACCCATTTCAGGTCATGGGATAATAAACTAGAGAACTGTTTATTTCAAATTTCCACTTATTCACGTGAACATTTATGTATAATTTACAAAAGATAAAGCTGGCAAATCCCCTGAACCTGAAATGGGTAAACATAACATACAAGCTGACGAGATATACTGAATGCCACAAGAACCAGCCAGCTACGCCGGCCTTTTATGAGCGAGCAAAAAAATTCATCATGGAGAGACTAAAAAAAAAAAAAAAGAAAGCAAAAATGAGATTTACTTACCATTATAGCTTTAGATTCCAAAACTGCTAAAATCAATAGTGGATAAAACACTAAAGTTACCTTAAAGTTTTCGACATCGGATAACAAATGGCTATGAAGTCTAAGAAAGACACCTTGAATAATATTGACGATCTGGCTTTTTTTTCTCTAAAAATCATTAAAATTTTTCATCACCTTACTTAATGTGTCGAATGGTAAGTCTTATGGGCGTTTCAAGATATTAATAAATCCATTTAATGAGTTCCACTCGCAATACCAAGTGTGAACACTACTCGCGCGTTGCATACTTTGCTTCATTGAGTAACACCTGCCTGAAAATCTTTGCCCGGCGGCTCGACGATAGACAACCAAAAAATAATGATAGAAGAATAACAAATAATAGAAAATAATTAGTAAAATCGCATGCCTCGAAACTAGATTGATCCCCATCTTCAAAGTATCGTAAGAAAGTAAGTTGTCTACTCCGACTGCCGCCCTTTACGCAACTTTAACAACGATCTTGACCTCAATTATCATCGGACACTCTTATGAATTGGTTCATTTGTGTATGTTTATCATATTTTGTGCACTGATTAAAGACACAAAGAATATTTTTTCACTTTCATTGCGTGCAGTAAACATCCATATATAAGTGTAAAACCAGCGACACCCCTTAACTGGTCTAATTAAATTTAACATGGTATGACAATTAGCTACTCTCGAACTGGTTAACACAGTGAAAGTAATTAAGCAAGAACACAAAAAGAAAAAAAAAGCCTCACCAGTTTACATGGGCTAGCAACTGCATCTTGTCTGAAGGTTAAGAATTAATACTAACAAAGCCAGGAAAAAATTAAACATTTCATTGAGGCATGTGTTATATTTCACGTTACCAAACAACTTCTAATTTTTACAATTTACAATATTACATATAGTTGCTTTCCGATACAAAACAGTATGGGCACCAAGCAAACAGTTCTGGTAGGAACAAGCGAGAGCTTACGGCAGCCATCCCGAAAGCCCACGGTTTTAGCTACCAGCGCTCCGAAGCATCACGTGGTATCACTTCAAAGTCATCCCTTAAGTCTCATTAGAAGAACAGAGAACAGATGGACTATTGGTGGTTGGCATGACTGTGATGTTGTAACATGTGATCAAAACCAAGGGGTCACCCCTTGTCAAGAGTCTTGACACGACAATGGACCTGGTCTTTACAACTTTGAAACTCATGATAGCTTTAACAAAGGAATATTCGCCAAAAACTACGCTTCTTCACCAACAAAAGGTCGACCCTAAAACAAGCCGCACATCACAAACTTTATAATTTAAGATATCACTTTTAGGAGAAACAACACTAACCGAGTAGCCATTTTGTTTTTTCTGTGATTAGCTCTGCAATAGCCTTTAATAAGCTCAGCAAATGATGGCCTGGTGAAGTCTGTTGCTCTTGTTTTTCAACGCTTGCCATTAGCGGCCTATTTTTCCCGCGCTTTCCTCCTTTGCCCGCGCTCACCGCAAGGTCGCGCAAACGCTTGATTTCAACTATTCCCGCCAGAAGTTCCAAAGATGCCATTAACGTAAAGACATAAACTTATTTCGATGGGCACTATATCTTAAAATACTTAATAACACTACAAATTTATCTACGTGTATTTTCATAGTGATAAAACAAGTGCAAGTTAATGTTAAATAAATACTATAGAAATCTAGATACAAATAACGCTAACTAAAACCAAAGAACTGCATATAATTCTATCACAAGATGATTTAGTTATCCGAAATAAAGTAACATCCTTGAATTGACTATCGAAAACATCTAAATTTTTTCTCTAAGATAAAGAAGTTTTCCTTAATTGCAGCTGATGGCTTAGAGAAGAATATTCTTCAAAGGGTTCCTCTAGAAGTCAAATAAAAAGTTCAAATTCTGCAGTATTCACAAAGACAATCCAGACGATTATCTCAGACAGCTTCTCTCTCTCTTCCGTTCGTTTGTGCATTTGGGGCAGTACCTTGAAAGAAAGCATGGGCAGTTAGTGATATCCGTAATTCCAATATTCAACGGATTCAGTCAATTCCTACGAGCTGCGACTTTCTTTTCTTTCAATTTAAGCCATCTTTACAAACATGTAACTCTCTACAGTTCAGATAATTTGGTTTAATCAACTGAGTTGATGATACAAATTGGCCACCATAAAGAGTTTCTTAAGCTGACGTTTCGAGCGTTAGCCTCTTCATCAGAGCAAATACAGCAATTGTTTGTTGTGTGGGGTTCATATACAGAAAGATGGAGCAACGCTATTGGCAGGAATATGGCAACCACAAGCTTGGATGGGTAGTAATAGGGCCCCTTCCCAACCACCTTTATTCATTAATTTTATCCTTTTATTTTATTGTGCCAATATATATAATATTACTACAATTTGCAAAAATTGATGAAGAACAAAATTAGCGCGGAAACCTGATGACAATTATTAAGGCTCGGAAGCTTAGGTTCCCACACAAGTAGTAGATAACAGATAGAACAAAATAATGTGTTAACAAGCCATATAATAGTCTGTAGTCCATAGTTGAATTGGAAGTTACTAAAAATAACAATTTTAACTTTTTTTCTTAAAGGATTCCAGAGATGAAGAGCTGGTGATCTCAGGAGTAAAAGAGTTTAAAAACTTTGAATCTTGATAGAAAATGGAAAACTACCGAATATTTGTTCTTCATAAAGGTACACAAAAGGGGTTGGCACGCCTTATGTATTGTAGCCGTGGATTTAATTGTTTCTCATGAATACATTTTTTAAAATTTTTTGAGGGAGGATAGATTTTTTGAATGAGAGCATTTATTGACCAAACTGTACCAAATGAACGTCGTGAAATTTAAGTGAGTGATAGGAAACTTAGGCTACTACGGCAGACATTCTATCAAAGACAAACTTACCATTTTCCTTTTGGTTTGGTAGTGAGTCCCACGCACTGAAAATGAAACCATTCTATGGGACACTGTTGAAAAAAGTGGTAAAAGAATAGTAAACATCAGGTTTCTTTGATAAAATAATATTAAAAAGCTGGTGATTCTAGTCTCTCCCACCATTTCTTGAATTTTTTAAAATCAAATTTAACAAAAATGTCACATAAATATAATAGAAGTAAAGGTTTACCTCTTCATTATCACACCCAATCATTTCTCCAAATGAAACCTGTACAGAAAGAAACATCATAAAGTTAGTTACACAGATTGGCAAGGCAACGCTCTCCATATTAATTCTGTGTTACAGTAAAACAACAGCTTATCAAAATGAAGTCTTCACCCTTTACTTCCAAGATCCCATTAGTAATTCTCCATACTGTCTACCATACAATTCATATAATGTTAGTTAGAAGAATTTGGAATTAGATCAACCAATGTTCTGCACTCCTCTGATACGAAGTTAGCTTGAATCAGCGTGGGAATCCTCGTCACCCTTTATTCAGTAAGTTAATCTTAGCTAGCAACCGCTGAGAGACTGGGCATGAGCAGAAGGAAAAACAATCTTTCTCTGCTGCCCTTGTTTTATGTCAGAAACGTTTTAAACGTTTTTAGTTTTTAAAATACAAGGGAAAACCTTGTGAGCCAGGAATAACGCCTTACTGAATTGCAATTAGCTTCCTTTTTCTTTGTCTAAGACCCAAAGGTCCTAAGGTGTCATTTAAATGTTGGCAATTATGTAATTTTGCTGATTCATTTTTGACAGGTGACTACTAAAATTGTCATTTTACGCCAACATTTAATTGGAATAAAGTAGTGCAAACTGTTGGTAGATTCCAAGTCCAATCTTCTCTGGTGACTTTTGCAACCCTCATTTGCACATTACGACGTGCAAATTAACTAATAATCCCCTAATTGACACTTTCTTTTTTCTCATCACTTGCTTGCTTGACATTGTATTGATAATGTAAGGAGAATATTGGTCTTAGTCACTTGTGGGAGTTAAAATCCCACCATTTACATACACTTGACATCTATCCAGGGGTGGTGAACACAAGTGGTCCTGACACTCATTTTCATGGCTTCATAGTACACAAAAAATACCTGGCAGTGCAGGCTAATCAACTTAACTTTTTGACCCTAAGAGTGACAAGCATCTAATTTTTCCTCACAACAACATCCTTGAATCACACATTGAGGTCATGAGAATGAAGGAAATGATCACCAACTAAAGAAGTACTTGATTGTTAAACAAATTCTCCTTGTCAGCACCTTAGGAAATGTATAGAGAACAGTATGGAGAATATGCATACTGATGTTAGGGTGTAAAGGGTTAAAGAACAATTTCATACCTGATTACACAAACAGTATGTTGGTTCATTTGGATCGATTGGATACTCAGGTGTAGGTGAGTCTTGATTCTTTGATTTTCCCCTAAAGTTAAGAAAATCATGGTAACTTTAGTCAAATAATAGAAATTTGGAAGTGGGGATGGCACTTTGGCAAGAGTGCTTGCCTCCCACTGCTGTGGCCTGGGTTTGATTCCCAGACCTGTTGTTACATGTGGGTTGAGTTTGTTGCAGTTTGAACTCTGGTTTTCCTCCTTCCATAAAAACTAAGATTCCATATTCCAATTCGACCTGGAAACAGTGGACAAGAAGAGCCACCTAGTGGAATGTCTACTGCTAAATTTCCATTATTTATAATAAATATTTATAGCAACTTAAATACTGGACCATCAAGTTTATCCTTTTTTAAATTGGGACACATGATTGATATCACAACATTTCCTAGATATTTTTGCAACTGAATGTGCATCAAGAATTTTAATAAGTTGGTCATCAGAGTTGTGAGGGAATTAACCCATATTTAATGCCATGACTGTAGATCTATTGTTCAATAATTCTTAACTTAACCTCACAAAAATATGATGCACACTACAACTTACTTTCTATTGGTCTTTGCCTTCTTCTTGACAGGCTTGACCACCTCTGAGCCTCCTGCCCCACTTGACCCACCTCTGCCCTCTGAGTCACGCTCATGTTTGTCATGGTTACGCTGCCGTCGATTTCCTACCAAAAGAAATATCATCAAATTTAGTCAGAATGATGGCAGTTGGTTAGCAAAGCTGTCTCTTCAGTAGTGTCCAAAAGAATGTTTACAGTGACTTACTTTTTGTCTTCTCGGGTTTTGAGTGGTGCTCTTCTAGAATGGCTGACAGAAAGACAAAACAATTCAAATAAGAAATGGCAAGAACCTTAACTGCAAAGAATTCAGTACCCTTGGTAACAGTGAAAGTTTAAGTTTTGTCTCTTAACCCCTTAACTCCCAGAAGTGATCAACATTAAACTTCTCCCTATAATATCCTTACATTATCCAGCAAACAGGTAATGAGAATATTAAAACTTATCAGGTAGAAGTTGTTATCTTGATCTAACACCAAATTCTGGTTACTAATTTACAAGGAAATGTGTAGGAACGAGAGGGGAGAATTAACAATCAGATCTTAGGAGTTTAAGGGTTAAGAACTTCACCCTTCTTAAGTTCCTATTTTCTACCAAGAAATAGATAAATGAGTTGATGGGCTGAATCAAATTAACCCATTTGCTCCCAAGATCTCATTAGTAATTCTCCCTATCGTCCACTAAACAATCCCTATGATGATAATTAGAGAATTTGGTATTGAATCAACTCATAATCCCCTCATTGATATACTTCTTAACTCTCATCACTTTTCTGCTGGATGTTTTATCAAAACTGTAATGAGAACTTCTCTTTGGTCACTCATATAGTTAACCCTTGAACTCCCAAGATATGATTGTTAATTCTTGCCTCTACCTGTACACATTTCCTTGTAAAACTGTTATGAGAATTTAGTGTTAGATCAAGATAAAAACTTCTACCTGATAAGTTTTAATATTCTCATTACCTGTTTGCTGGATAATGTAAGGATATTATACAGAGAATATCCATGTTAATCACTCCTGGGAGTTAAAGGGTTAAATTAAAGATAAATGACTTGATAGGGTTAAATCACATTAAAAAGTTATGAATTCATAAAAGCTGAGATGACAGTTAATATAATAGTACCTGGCTGAACGTCGGGTTTTAAGAGAGGTGGCATGTCATCATTCCTGTACGTGTCCAGGTTTTCCACATCTACTTCAATTTGTCGAGTACGAGTATCCACCTGCACACGTGATTAACAAAATTCAAATAAATGACCATAAATATATAAGAAAATCAGTTCACGTACCAGTATATTATTTTCATATATTCATAGTCATTTATTCATCATTTCACAGGTTCATTTAGATCCAACATAATGACCAGGTCCCAGTTGACTTGTCAGCTCAGTTGGTAGTGCACTGCACCACTATCACAGAGGTCATGGGTTCAAATCCCATACAGGCCTGAATTTTTTCAGGCCTTATTTTCACTACTACTTCACTAGTGTTCATTACTGAAAAGTTTGCTTTCATGTTCAAAATTTAAATTATAAGTTGTTTAATGAGTAACTTCTTCTTTAAAAAAAGACATTAATCCATGAATGTAATAAGAACACAGACAGAAACTATCTGGTGGAAGGTGATATTGTGATATAACAGGAAATTCTTTTAAGATGGTCTTTTACCCTTAATATAGCATTTTTCCCTTTTGAATGTAACTTTTAAGACCTTCTCACACAGTGTTCTCCCTCATTTTTCGCATGACAGGTAAAATAAATTTTCAAACTGGTAAAGCAATCCTTTTACCTGTTGAATTTTCAAGAATTCCAAGCAATTTTAAATGGTAATAAGAGGTACTACAGACAGTAAATGTTACCGGTTACTGTCTGAAAAGGAGAACACTGCTCACAGATCAAAACTTTCTGACTCCAAACTGACCAAGTAAGATTGCAAATGTTAACAATTAACCCTTTAGCTCCCATGAGTGACCAAGACAGAATTTCTCCTTAAAATATCAATACAACGTCAACCAGATAAGTGATAGGAATAAAGAAAAATATCAATTTGGGGATAATTAGTTGATCCAATACTAAAATCTCTGAACTAACATTATAATAATTGTATGGTTGACAGTAAGGAGAATTACAAATTAGAATTGGGAGTTAAAGGGTTAATGATTTATTAGCCCCTAATGGTGATAAAGTCTGTTTTAAGTGGAAAAACATGGCAGGATTGGTCACAAAAGGATGTAATTAGCTCTTCAAAAATAAATTTCCCAGATTTTAACTTCAAAAACATGGAAACAATGATGGTGAGACATGTATAAGGGACTGTGGATAATTTCCAGGGACTGTTGATTCCTCAGCTTTCTTAGCAAGACTGTATTAAATTGCAAACACTTCTTATAAGTCAGTAACAGCTCACCAAGTCCATCATGTTTCCAACCAGCTGTAGTTTATCATCACCATATTCCTGACTTCTGATAAGTCGTCTTTGAATTTGAATCAAGCATTTCCTCCTGGCTGCTGGCTCTTTTTCTTTAAAGTAACTGTTGATAAGCCTTTCAATTTCTTTAAGCCTCTCTGAAACATTGAAAACATAACACTTTTATATCTAAAAAATTTAAAAACTGAGGAAAACTTAACACACAAGTATTTAGATTTAATCTGGTCCAAATCTTATGCTGCTAACAAACCCTGATAATGAAGATCCAGCTCTCTCATCTGAGAAATATTCCTTTGCATATCATCAGGTAGAGATTCTACACCTACAGTTAACAAAACAAAAAAAAGAAAAAGAAAAAGAAAAATGTTTTATCAAGGCTTTTTTTAAGTTATCCAAAGGATGTAGCAAAGTACCCCATATCATGTCTAGTAGACATGAATTTTTGAAAATATCCTGCCTTCCAATCGATGGTGAGGGTAGTATGGAGAAGTTGTAACCCAATCTTTGGGTTCAAAGGGTTAATTTGTTTCTGGGAATCAGCTGTTTTTCTGTTGGGCTGTTCTTACAACATCTACCCTGATCTGGAAGTTCATGGCCTCCACTTCAATGAAAAAGAAAAAAAAAATGTTTTGCCCTCTCAAATGTTACCCTTCCACAGGTGATTAACTTGCAACTTCTCCCTATAATATCCCTACTTTATTCAGGAAATAGATTATGGGAATATTTAAACATATCAGTCAGAAGTTGCTATTTTGATCTATGACCAAATTCTCATAACTTTTCCAAGGGAAATGTGTTGCAGCTGAAGAGTAGAATCAATAATCAGATCTTCCAAGCTTAAGGGTTAAAAACAACTGAGCCAAATTTATGAGAATTGATGCCAACATGGAAATTGCTCTTTTCATCCCCTTGATCAAGGGAGAAAAATGAGAAAATCAAAGATCTATGTTTAAAGTTATTGTCTCTCTTCCTGTCTGCTTTTAGTTTGGATTTGTGTTTTCAATCAGAATAATTTTGAACCAGGTTTCTCGTCTACTAAGAATTTGGAATAGGAGTTGATATACAAAGTACAGCAAAACTCAGCAAGATCTTGTTTATACACACACTGAAGGTCCCTGCTCATTTACATGTGGACGTAAGCTGACGTATCGCAAGATATCATGCACATGTAATTTCTTGGAAAAACGTAAATATTAAGAAATCCGAAACGAGGAACACTAGAGATAATATAGGTTTGTTGAAATCTCATGAGTTAATGAGCCACTTCAGATTATATTTGCGGTAATGCCAATGCTCACGCCTTTAAGAGATCACGTACAAAATTGCATGACAATCACAGCACAAATCTTCGCTTTGACGTCACGGTTGTAACAAAATCGCATGTTCGAAATATGTGCACATATTTTACCTAAGGTCACGACGAGATACGAAACTTGGTCAAATTAAAAATAAACGAGCAACGGAAGCTATCAAATACTGAAAGCGGGTTCAAACAGGTTATAATTGTTGAGAAGTTCCGTTTTAGATCCGTTCAAGGTTGACTGGTCCTAATATAGTGTGTGAGGAATAATAGGCACGCTGGAGCGAGTAAATCTCAGTGTGTGCCTCGAGAAACATGTATATTTTTGACACTATTTCCAGTCAAGATAATATGGCTTTTTACACTTGATGGATTGGTTAACAATGTTTCAAAAAGGAACAATTTAACTCACAATCTAGGTAGTTCTCAACGTAGGTTGCTGTGGCAGAAATCGCGGACTCACTTGACTGCAAAACAAAAACACATAACTCGTTTTCGTCGATTTAATACGCACTAATAATCTTGTGGTACTTACCGTCATTTCTGCAGCATAGTAATCTTGTAAAAGATTAAAAAAATCAGGGAATTTTCCCTCCAAAAACGATATAGATTTAGCGACGCGGTACAAACAACTTACAGCTTAGCAGCCAAGCTTCTGACATTTTATTTCCGGTAGTCGAGTGCAAGTTTTGATTCGCTGATCAATAAGGGAACAGGAAGTACATTGGTTACAAAATTGTTATTTGCGGTTCCGCCCTAATTCAGAGGACAAAGAACTTTCATGTGATTTTGACAACAGTTTGACATTTGATTAAAATATGTTGGTTTCTGTCACGTACGCATACTAGATTTGGGTAGAACTTTCCCAAAAAGCGATTTACTTTGTTGAACAATCCTTGTGAAGATCGGAAGTAGGTTCGCGGTGATATCATTGCCATTCTTCCCTGACGGAGTTAATTTTGTTAAGATTCCCTTGAGAAAAGCAACAAATCTGCCGGGAATTTCTCAAATGTTTGTAAGTGACCAACTTTTGATAACATGTGCACATAATCTCAAGTTCCTACTTGTTATGATCGTTCGATCAATAATGGCGATTGTTAAAATTCTCCTCCTGTCTTATGGCTAATTTTTCTCTGAATTCTTGGCCTTTATTGTTGTGTTTTGTAGAACTCGAAAAACTCTCCCACAGCAAAAGACGTGGATATTGGGCTGATGCAGCTAAGAATCCTTGAACCTAACGAAAAGGAAACGCAGAAGCCCTCGAAGAAGAAAATGGCTCCTGGAACCTCAAGGCGCCGGAAGAAATCTAGATACAAGAGGTGTGTAATTTCTTAATTTTCTTTTAATGCTTTAACAACTCAAATAATGGTGGATGAAAATAATGGGTTTTGAAATTAGGCTCTCCCCCTTATTATTTCATTTTATTGTTTTTGGTGGTTGCTCAAACAGCCAGAAATCTTCAAACATTTCCTCTGCACACAGTGTACATCGATGTGGCTTGCATTTTGTAGGACTGAACTTGTCGAACCACGCTTGAAAAGCTTTACTTCAGCTGACTCATGTATATTCTATAACGAGGACATTTATTCCCTTTTGGGATTAAAAGACTGAAGAACAAAGAGAAGTAAAACTTCTGCTCTGCAGTAAAGAGTTTGTGAGATTAAAAGGAAGTGAAGTTGCATAATTACCGACTGTTACTGTAAGAGGTGTCAAAACAAGCTTACGTATTTTGAATTCGTTCGCGTTGTAATCATATTATGACGCAGTCGTTACAAGAGTCAATTTTAAAAACGTTTTGAAGTTATTGGGGTGGTTGGTTAAAAAAAATTCCAAACTTTTAACTCTGCCTGATAATATTTTTTGCTGAAAATACGTTGTCGGCATGACATGTATCAAATTATAGATGACCATGCATTTATCTTTATAAATAGAAAATTCTTGATCTTTGCTACAGAAGTGCGTAGGAGTGACTGACGATAGAAAAAAAATCCCAAGTTTTGTATTAATGATGTCAAATCAGCAAATCATCTGCATTTCTTTCATTCTTTGTAGCTTCCAACCGACAAAGTATTTTCCATACTTATAAATTAGTCATGATAATCCAAGAAAAGTAGAAAGTAATAAAAAGCGCAAAGGTGGGCATACACTAGGGTTCATTTCCATTTTTAGATTAACAATTCATGAGTCGTTGAGGAGAATACGAAAATAAATAAAATTAAACTATAATAAATACACAAACAGAAAGAGTTGATCTAACTAGAACATACTATTTAACTGATTGAAGGCAAACCATTTGGCCACATATTAGGAGCTTCTAGTCCTAAGGGGTTGAATTAAGGACTGATAAATTTAAGTGGAAGTGAGCAAAGTTAAATGATGAAATGGAAGTGACACCACAAGCTCTTAAAATAAACAAGAGATAAGACAACACTCCTTTATTTATGAACCCACACAAGTACGGAAAGGACAATGATTGTTTGTACCAACTGGTTTGAAGGTATAGATTTCACCATATGTTCGTAAAAAAATTAAGCGCAGTCCTGTGTGCTCTGTAATTAGATATGATGATGGAAAAAGCTGTTTTGTTGTCATTCAGATCTGAAACAGGTGTAAAAAAATCACTAATAGTGCTATAGGCATATAGAGTATCTCCTTCAGATAAAAATAAATGAAATGAATTGCAATGTAGACACTGCAGCAATAATATTAAAAGGTTAACATTTCAGTCTTCTTCAGGACAAATGTTCTTCACAAAGATGTAATTTTTACTATTATACCTTTCAGACCTCCTGTTTATTCTTCCAGTAAATTTTTTTGTGTTTATTATCATCAATATTTAACACAGCATTTCTTTCATACACACTAGTTGACTATTAATCATTGTTCATGTTGTATTGGCTTGTATTGACCCTTTTCTTTCCTAGAGCTGATCAAAATGGAATTGCTCCGCCCATTCACCTTAATCCTTTGACACCCAAGATCTTGTTAGTAATTCTCCTTACTGTCTGCCATACAGTTCTTGTGATGTTAGTTTGGAGAATTTGGTATTGGATAAGCTAATAATCCCATAATTAATATTTTTCTTTATTCCCATTACTTGTCTGCTTGATATTGTATTGATATTTTGGGGAGAAATTCTGTCTTGGTCAATCATGGGAGTTAAAGGGTTAAATTCTCTAAGAAGAAAGGAGATGAAAAAAAAGAAAAACGTCAACTAGGGTACGTTATTGAATGTCGTACCAAATTCTCCAGGCTAAAATTAGATGAAGTGTATGACGGACAGTAAGGAGAACTGATAAGAAGATCTTAGTAATAAAAGTGTCAAAGAATTTGAATGTACTACAACTATATGACGTAACCTCCGCAGCCTGTAATTTGCTTTACAAAATACGTCAGAAGTCTGAACACTTTTTAACTTCCTTTGTGGTATGATAATTGGATTGAAAAGCTTTCAGTTTTGTTAGTTACAATGTACAAACTACCAAGGTCACTGCTTCAAGCTCAAGGTTTACAGAAGTCGTAACACTTTTTAACTTCCTTTGTGGTATGATAATTGGATAGAAAAGCTTTCAGTTTTCCTAGTTACACTGTACAAAATGCCAAGGTCACTGCTTCAGCTCAAAGTTTCCTTTTGGCAATGAAAAATGTAAAAAAAAAGGGGATTGGAATTTAACTTAACACTTACACATCTGAGGAGAAAAAAGCAACAAAACTCAACTTAACAAATAACTTTTCATAGAAAATATTCCACTGAGTTTGACTCTAGATCACAAAAATTAAAAAAATGAAACTAACAGTGAGAACTTACTACGTGATTGCGGAAAATAATTTGTCAATTTGCCACTTTTTGCTAAGAATTAGAGGATACAATTTTTTTATTCACTATGGTGACCATAATAATCACAGCTTGAATTGCATGCTTCTAGCATCACAGTGGTCTTCTCGATTGATCAATGTTGCATGGTTACACCTGTGCGAAGAGTAGGAGTATGATGGGATTAGAGAGAGAAGACAAACAAGATCTCCACTATTAAGATTCCAAGCTATAATTATTTTAAAAATCTTTGGACTCCTGAGTGTGACTAGCATCTAATTTCTCCTTAGAATATCAACCGCGATTCAAACCCTAAGGTCGAGAAAATCTAACTTAAGAAGCTCTTGATTGAGTGACACATTCTCCTTGTTAGTACGAAAGGAAAATGATAGAAACCAGTGTGGAGAATATTTACACAAATGTCAGTGTTAGGGTTAAAACTAATGCCATGCTTGGATTAAAGGTTTAAGAGTCTGGTTGATTTTGTTTAGTGGGAGAGAGGGATTTTAATTAACATTCACATTCACGGAATTCCCCAACAGCATGATCAAGATAAAAGCTCCAAAAAGAAGGAAATAACTAGCTAGAAATTGTTTTGGTTTGAATGCGCAAGTCTAACTTATTCCTAATTCCAGCACATTACGGGAGAAAATGAAAATTATTGCTCAAATGAACATTCACAGCAAGTCATATGCCAATCAACTTTACTTTATGTTTTTTTTTTGTAATAGATTATAAAAAGCACAATCTGAATTATTTTTAGCAAGTGAACAGCTTCTTTCATTTTTTAAATATTTTCAAAGTAAACAGTTCACCATGAATTATCATTGCATAATTTGAGAAAGGTCAAAAATGAAATATCTCAAATGATGTAGCTTTTATCATGCAGAAAACTCCTCTAACACATGTCATCAAATCTGTTGAGAGGGAAAGTTTTGTTTTGGTATGTTACTTTCGTGAGTCTCCAGAACTCACAGACTATAGTGTAATCAGATTAGTTGAAGACTCAAACACACTTTGTTTAATCAAAGGCCTCTTTTTAATGTTGAAGTGATATTAATCTACCACTTCTTGTAAGGTTCCAGGAGGGAAGATGAATTCCCCATTTAAGCAAAAGTCAACATTTGACAAGGGAAGCAAGACTATTTTAAAATCTTCCGACATGCTTTCTAGCCTAACACATCATGATCCCAATTTGTACTGTTATGTAACCCTTTCAATTCTAGGAGAGATCAAGAAGGAATTTCCCTTTACAGTATCAATACATTTTCAAGCAGAAAATTGGAGTGAAGGAAAACAAAGTATAAACTAGGGATATTGTTTGATTAAACACTAAATTCTCAGAGCTAAAATGAGAAGAAATGTATGTTACATTGTTGGGAGAACTGATTTAGGGATCTTGAAAGTATTTAAGGATTGAAAAGATTAAGGGGATAAAGCAGTTTTTGAATTAATTCTTAGTTTTAATTACCCACCTCCTCAGGGGAAAAAAAGTGTCTGTGTTTTTAATCTAAATGACCACATTAACATATTTCAGCCATTAAATATATATATATATACCAAAAATAACTTGCATCCTACATAAAAACATATGAAAAAGGGTATCTGTTCATACGTTAAAGAAAATGCAGCAAGTTTTGATAGCAAAATAAAGCCAAATCTTTTCCACTTCTTTTTTACCATGCTACAAGCAGGTTGTTCTTCTCTCTTCATTACAGTTTCTAATGTATCATATGATTGTAACAAAGTTTCAGTATGACCTTTTGATGCAAGTCGGTTGAATATCTAATTTGCATTGTAAACACAGAGCTCTTCCGTGTTAACTATTTGTGTTCCTGCTCTCTCTATTAGTTTGCTTTAAACTTCCATAATGGACTTCTAATTGTGATGCAAGAAACTTCCTCTTCAGTTTTGAAAATGAATTTGAAGTTGATGTATAAAACTTATGCTTATACACCTTGTTCCTATTTGGTTTTCATTTCTTAATCTGCAAGTTATCTTAGTTTAAAAGGTTAAAGCTGCTATACAGTGTGCTAAACCAAGGACATATTTCATCAGTTTGAACAGTTTGGTGAAAGTTCAGTGTTGTACCTCATCGCTATTTTCAGTGACTCTAACCACCTAATTAAACTCTGTTTTGCATGAAAAAAACAAACATTTTCTTTGTAAACACGATAAGAGGTGGCTTTGCGATAGCTTAACTTTCATTTCTCACAAGTTTGAAATTTCTTTTTAAGAGCGTCGTTAAAACTCAAGCTCAAATTTTTTCACTTGATCGAGAGATTGTCATCAGGTATAGCACTCACCCGTTTCGAGAGAGAAAACAACTGGGGTTGTTGACATACGCCAAATAAGCAAGTTTTAACTCTAACCCGATCTACTTAAGATATTGTACCATTGTATTCAACAAGTTAAATTTAGAACACCAAGAGTTTGTAGAACCCATTAGGAAATTCATCGACTCGTATCAAATATTCGGACTTGCGGGGGAGGAGGGGGTCGTGTAGTTGATTCGGAATGTTCCGGTTTTACATCGATCAAAAGTAAATATTTGCATTTGCTATTCTTTACCTTAAATCGTTGTGTCTTAAACGGAAGTTCTTGCATTCAGCTTCAGTTAGGCGGTTTCTTTCCGTATCGATAACCTACATGAGTTGTAACAAATTAGTCGCTACCGGCTTGAACCTGTTTTGACGCCGCTCTTCCTAACAATTTCACACGCTATTCAAGTCCATTGCATTGTTTTCTTGATCACCGGAAACGTGTATTGATGTTGTCTTTTGTTTCTTTAAGAAAAAAAAAACACCCATACATCTTCTTTTGTAGAAAACGCAGCAAATTACCGCAGATACTATGGAAATCAAAATATAATAATCACTTTCGAGTATTATGGGGGTCGTACCCCCGGTGTAATTATCACGTGATGTTGGCGGAGTCTCGCGACCAATCAGGTGATGTTTCTGAGAAAAAAATGCGCATAATAATTTCTCGTCAGACGATAAACAAGCGCCATCTTGATTTTGTTGCTCGTAAAAGGACCTTGGAATTGTCGTTTTCATTGGAGATGATCTCGTGTTTTCGACTGTTAAACGCCCGCTAAGGTCTCAGAAGTTTCTGATTAAGAGTATTTGGCTGTGTTTTGGGACAAATTGGTCAGCGATGCCGCCAGTGAAGCGCTTGGCGCAAAAGCCGAGGTATGTTGCAGCGAACCTAATGTCGACAGGGTATTGGTGAAAATTATATGGCATTCATCTCGATTAACTGTGGGAATGCCATACTCTGGTGTAATCGGTCTGGAAAAGAGCAGCTTTAAAGGGAAAAAAACACTGATGTTGCTTTTGCTCTTTCTTTTTCAGATCGAAAAGCACGGACAACTCGAGGTAAGGTTTAAACATGTATAAACTTTTTGTAGTATCTCTTGTTCTTTCCGTCGATTCTTGTTCTTACGGCGACGGACACAGCCGTGTCGCGCCGCCGATACAAGTCAAGTAATCAAAAATGAGCCTAGTTCTCTCAATAATGTCAGCTGTGTTGAAGCGATTGTCAAGCATTAGGTAAAAAGACGGGAATCACCATAAACGGAAATTGGAGGCCGTCTGTTTGCAAGTGTTTGCGTGTGTTTCAAGATTATCGAGAGCCGTATACAATAACTACATCGGTCCCGCTAGATTCTTTGGAGCTCGTGAGGCAGTAAAAAGAAGTTACGCGGAAGGCGTTGTGTGAACGAAGTGATTTTTGCTTTTAAATCAGCAGCGTTTGACTGTGCAATGTTCATGAGAAGTTGGAATTTGTTTTCTTCGTGCAAACCTTGTACAACGCACCAAAGACTGCAAAGAAGTGCCGTGAATTAATTACCTGCGGACATCAATATATTAATTTTCAAGGTTTTTGTGAAACGTGTCTTGTCTCCTTTGAAATTTGTCGCATCGTGTAACGACTCAATTGACCAAGATTAAATTCGATGCGATCTCGAAATTATCCCGGAATTTAGAATATCTTTGTTCGATTTAGAGGGCTTTCGAGCGACCGCCGCTCGTGCACTGTGTTCGATTCACAACAACTCGAATCTCTATTCCATTCTTCAGAATCCTTGATCACGCAAACCTATACCGTTTCATGAAAATTGATATATTCGCCCTCAAAAAATAATGCTAGCCTTCTTTGTATTTGTATGAGTGGTTTTGAAGTTTGAGATGAATTTTCGGAGTGCTCTTGGGCTGGCTGAAGAAATCATGTTTACATTTAGTTTGCTCCGTTGGTTAAGATGTCTGTAGCTCCTTTTCAAAAATTGACAGCTGTATCGTGTCGGTTTATTGTACAGAAAATTTTTGAATCTCTTGTGTAAGCCGGGTTCTTCGTGTGTGCGTGACTAAATGAAGAACCTTTTGTAAATCAAAGAGAAATCGGAGAATTTAACTACAAGTGATATCAATAGTTCGTAGAGCAATCTTAACCATAAAAGATGTTGAACTCTTTCGCTTCGCGTGGTGTGAAAAATTTTTGACGCTTGTAATTAATTACAGGGCACTATAAGGTTAACGGTATTCTTCATTCTTTTATTTTTCTAACAATGAGAAACAAATGTCTCGCGTTTTATGCCTTGATTAACTGTCGTGTTAATGTTTCTGTCCGTAATTCGGTTGATCATGTTTTCCTAGTGCCAACCAGGGCAATTAAATTTGATCTTCGTTTGGCGCACTTTTCCCGTTCCTTTTGTATATTTTACAATGTGTAATTTTAGTTGTGGAGTTCTGTTCCTGTTTACGAACCTGATTTGAGAGTTTATTCTTCTATTTTTGTAAACTTTTGCACGTGCTTTGTAAAAACTTTACTTCTGTACGTATGTTAGATAATGTTATCGCACTAGATATGTCATGTATAGCAAGGTTAACTCCCACTCAAGGATGCTCTATGTTCTGATGAAAAATAGAAAATTTTCATATTGTAGTACAAGTAGGGGGCTTGAAGGCACGATTGGAAAAAAAAAAAAAAAAAAAAAAAAAGATTGAGCTGTCATTTTTTTAATCCAGCCCATTATTAAAATTAGCATTGACTTGGTTTAGATCACCACATGGAGCCAATATCATCCCATTTGTTTTGAACACAATGCCATTATCAGGTGTATGCAAAAATATTTCTTGATTGCCGTTAACATCCCATGCTTACCGCCACCTATGGAAGTTTTGCAGTTCCTAAAATCTTAGCCAATAGAAATTGAAATAATGTCTACTATGTAACTATCGCATTTCATAGCTTCTTGGTATCAAGAGGTAGTCATTATTTGATGATCAGTTGTAGATGGATTGAATCAATTCCACGTGGTCAGCTCCTCTGAGAAGCATCTGTTTCTACACGCTGTCATCTCCTTGCTTTAATTTGTTTGATATCCCCAGGCCATCAAGTTATTTTGATTTATTCTCCACAAGCAGTGATTGTTGCACAGGTTGTTCTATTAAGTAGAGGAAACACGTTTATATAACCTACCATGCTGGTACCTGTTTCAAGCAGATAAACGCTGGGCAGAGGGGGAAAAAGTTGTAAGACATTTCCAATCATAGATTAATATGTAGTTTGTTTCTCTCTTGCTAATTACCGGACATGGACATGGTGCATTTATGTCTCTTAAGAGGATTGTCCCACAGTAATATCATGGTGGTGATTGGGACCAAGTAAACTAGCTCAACTGTTTGTGTCACACCTCTAACTTTCCGAAACAGTTAGGCCAGTCTTAAGACCAGTGCAAAATAGAAAAGCCTTCATTATTTACAAAAACAAATTTACCTGTCATAATTTTTAAATCTAGGAAAGACTAAGAGTCACAGTGTCGGCATCTGTTAGAAAGGTGGTCATCAATCTCATTGCAGCCAATTTTAGTGCAATCAATCTAAGTGGGGGTTAAACATGGAATATTTGCCTTGTGTGAATATCACAAGTAACTCCACTTTTTTTTCTTTTTTTTATTTTCTTCAATCAAATAATATCTTCCACAGAACCCTGGCTAGCTTTGAAGTATCCATTCTTGGTTAAGTACTAATGCAAAAATATTGTGTTCCAAAAAATTGCCATTTTTTATGGTAGGAGTCCCTTGAATAGACCCATTAGTTATATTAAAGTGTTTTGTTTTAATTACCGCAGGAGTCTGTGTGCTTGAAATTATTTATGTGGGTTTGTTGAAGTAGTCTACATGCATCTAGATTCTCATTTTTACAGTGTTACATCCTGTTGTGACAGAATCATGGGGTGTTTTTTGCATCATAGAGGAAAAAATTATTCCCTTCCATCATGAAAAGCTTCTTGGTTTTGCCTAACAGTATCATCAAGTTTTATGGCAGCACTTTCAGACAGTTAAGTAATATGCATATCTTTCAGACAAAGTCGCTTGTCTGTGTAAGCCTCCTTTAATAGGCGGGAAATTAGAAGATTTGTAATCTCCACCAGGTTTTCACACAAGCAGCACGCAAAGAGTTTTGTCTGCATGACAAATAAAATTAAAGATGTCACAATGTATCTTGCTTGATATCAACCATACTTATATCATAATAACATAAAAAATTTTTACAATTGAAAGAAATTGATATTTCCTCTTGTTTATCTGGTAAATTCGCCAGCTAACATGTATTGCTTCCTCAAGGTTTACTACATTTTATATTGTGTATCTACATAGCAGAATCATGCATAAAAAATGGTGTTTATGGTATCAACAGTGATTTCAATAAAAGCTGGTTATCTGTGGTATGCCGCCACCCACAAGATCTCTCCGCCGTCTCTTTACTTGCAAGTTGGCTTTTGTAATTGGGTTTTGCCTTATGGCACAGCAGTATATTATACCATAGGCAGTTGCATATGAAAAAAGTTATCGAAACCCTGGTTTCATGTTAACTGAACAGAAAGTGATACAAATATAATAATTTCGAACACATCAGAAAACTAAGCTGTATTGTTTCTGTTTTCTTAAATTTACTGGGAAGTATGAGCAAAGCAGTGTTTTTATGACTTGAAGTCTCAAGACTCTTGTCTAAGGAACATGGGACATTCATTTCCACAAATATTCCTTGAAGGAAACCATAGCGAAAGCCTCAAAGGATTATCCATTTGTGCTTCAGCTGCTAATTTCCCTGTGAGGCAAACAACTGTTGTTGTTAATAAGTAACATATAACATCTAACTTTACTGAACAAAGACAGGGAACATTGTTTCTAGGTGACACTGAAGATCGAGTTTGTGCACAGTAATCCAAGGCAAGGCGAGGCAAACCAAAACAGATTTCTCTACCAATGATAGTTATCCTTTTTTTCCTTAACCTCAGAATTGAGTTTTCTTAGCTTCTTGGTATCAAGAGGTAGTCATTGTTTAATGATCAGTTTTAGATGGATCGAGTCAATTCCACGCGGTCAGCTCCTCTGAGAAGCATCTGTTTCTACACACTGTCATCTCCTTGCTTTAATTTGTTTGATATCCCAAGGCCAAGTTATTTTGATTTATTCTCCACAAGCAGTGATTGTTGCACAGGTTGTTCTATTAAGTAGAGGAAAGTTACTGTTAGATTCTATGCGAAAGAGAGATTGATACAATGTCAAATATTCCAAATCTGGTCATTATTGATCAAATTAGACTAGAAACCCATTAATCGCATTCTAACTGTAACTTGAGAGATACATGTCTCTGGTAGAATGCTGAAAAAGCCATTCTTTCAATACATTTTTTTTCTGATGTACTTGCATTTTGTATTTATTTCTTGGTTGCTATAACAACCCCACATCAGGTATTTGTAATCAAATCACACACAATCCTTCAGCTTAATTTTGATGGTAACTGTTGTTTATTTAGACTTACATTTAGAGAAAGGTCTGTTAAAATTCTATAACAGTACTGTGTTTCTTGATAAAAGCCTGCAGATACGACCAGTATTCAGTTCTCCACATTTTCCCACTCTATCAGCTGTAATTTGTGTATTAAGGATCAGGGTAAAGAATATGCCCTTTCATATCCATATTCAAGTATATTTGGTTGTTTTTTCCCTTGATGTACTCAATTGGACAACTTTGTTCCTGAAAATGACAAATTTAAAGAGTTGAGAAGTATGACTGTACACAATAATAATCCTTTTACACTGTAGCAAGTTACTTTATTTTCAAATCAGTTTCTTCAGTCATATATTGCACTGTTGTTATTTGGTTTTCAGTTTTGTAAGGAATCTCTGATATTTGGTCAAATTGGTGAGTTTTTTTAAACCAGTATTAGTTTCAAAGCTTTTCAACTTTGACCGTAAATGTTTTGTTATGCATAAATTTGTGAACCATGATCTTGAATCCACTGAAGCTGATAAAATGATTGTTGCATGTACTTTACATGTACATGGCTCTGGGGAAGAAGGCTGGAGAAGGAAAATATTGCAGTTACAACTGCAGCCTTTAGCAGTCACTAAAGGTAGTCGAATGGTTGTGAAAAATTTCGAACAGTTTTGGCAGTTAGGTTTTTTTTTTTATCATGTACGTGTTCATGTTCCACTTCTTTGCTGACCATTACACTCGTACAGTTTCTATAGAAACGGATCACATAAGTTTTGTCTAAATTTTACTCCTCAGCGAGGTTGCAGTAATTTATCAGAACATTTTATCTGAATGAAATTCTAAATAATCTCAGGGATTGTACATTTTAACTTTTTTTGGCTCCATCTAATTTTAGAGAAGCTTTTTTTGAATTGTGCTGAATTTGCATTCATTCTTATTGCTTAAAGAGCATGACTGACAGGGGAGAAAGCACATTGTTAAATGAAAGTGTGCTTTCTGCTTCATGGTCTCTTTTGTTCAGAACTGTCATCACCAAATGAACATGAAAAATTGATCAATTCTTGTCAAGCATTTTTGGGGTGGAAAGTTTAGGAAAAGAAAACTTACATGCGATAGTTTTCAAACAAAGTTGTTCATCTCATGAGAGCCATTTACCTTCTACCTCTGTCGTGACGTTGCTTTGTAAATCCACTTGAAACTTTTCAGTTGTTGACAGCAGAAAATTTGAGAAATGTATTCTTACTGCAATTAATTCTGAACACCGAGTGCTTAGTATCTCTCTTGGTTTTGTAGACAATGGTGTCAAATAATCAAGGTTTCATCTAAAGTTTGTGGTATTATATGGTGACCTTCCACAAATATACCTTGTATATTTTTGTATCAATAGAGTGGTTATTTTAGTTGTTTGAAACCAGGATGGAAGGTGAGCTTGCTATGTCTTCAGCACAATGTCTCATTACCACAGATATTCATAGCCAGGAGGCATCCATGAATATTAATTTTAACAGATAGCATGTGATGTTTTATTTCATCAAAGACATGTTAATGAAAGCAATCTGCAAAACATGATTTGGTTTGTGGTGAAAATACTGCGGTTCACTTGTACATTGTATTGGATGAGATTGTACTAATTTTAAATCATCTTTAAAACGAACAGTCCACAATTATTTTTGAGAGTTGTGTTGTAACTGTTGTGGAGACATCACGAAATATTTTTAAAGCTCAGTTGTTTTCTTGTACGGATGTTTGTTCACATTGTGTAGAATGATATCTGGTTGTTAGATTTAGGCCAACTTGTTCAAGTTGAAATTTTTTTAAAATCATTGTTTGCATGTACATCTAGATTCCTCTTTTACCCTGCTGTGACCGCATCACTCAAACATCCACATTTGAAGGTCTGAAACAATAGCTCTATGGCTATTAACTTTGTAAATCAATTATCCAGTGAGTTAAAAGGCTTTATGAACTGAATATATTCATATTCCTTTAAATTTCCATTAGTAAATACACGGTGTAAGTTTGGAAAATTACAAGCCCCTTTTTCTTACTGCAGGAAAATTGTGAAAGCAGCAGAATGTTTCAAACTTGAAATTTGAACATCCATGTTTAAAGGATTGAAACAATAGTGCCTTGGCCATTAACTTTGTCAATCAGTTATCCAGTGAGTTAAAAGGCTTTGTAAACTGAATGGAGTAGAGCTTCATAATCCTTTAAATTTCCACTAGTAAATACATGGTGTGAGTTTGTAAAACTACAAGTCCCCCATATCTTACCACAGGAAAATTGTGAAAGCAGCAGAATGTTGAAAATTTTTTACAGGTTTCACCATTAGCCATAACAGGCTATTTGCTTCTACTTTTTGGTTTAGGTAAACTCAACCCAGCTTTGCTACATTTTTTGGGAGATATACATGTAAATGTTAAAAAAAAATTAAGTGATTCAGACAGTCATTGAGAATCTTTAAAATATAGAATGTGCTCTTTAGTAGATCTCAGGTACTCTGAGCCACAGGCTCTATTTAATTGCACTCTCTTCATTGTGATAATGAAACAAAGCACTCTCATCTTATTTCGTGTTAGGCTGAAGACCAGAATTAAAAGTGACAAAGGGCTTATGCTTGAATCATCAGCTTTTGAAACTCTTTAGTGTGGCCATTTACATTTTTAACTCAGTAATCAAACCAAGTTATTTTGCTATACCCCTCACCAATGTAACTGCAAAATTTGTTTCTTTTTTTTTTTTTATAAATTTACCCCCCTAGAGGCTTAAAACTGCCTCTTGGCCTTCTTATGATATGTTAATGTAAAACACAGTTTCTAATATTTTGTATTGGTTAATTTTGTTTATCTGGTGTGTGTGGCCCAACAATAATTAAGAGGAAAGAATCTGGCGGCATTCTTCATGTTTGTTTAGTAACCATTACTTCAAAGCATGTTTCTTTTGCTAGCCTGTTTCGACCACAACTGTTGTTTATTTTCTCTGTGAGGATTATGGCAGCCAATGAGGGAATTAGCAGTTCATAGTGAGATGTTTCCCTTTGACGAATTTTAAAGTCTTTTTTCAATCTCTTGTCTCTTTTATTGGTGAGTTTCATTGAAACTCTTGTTTGTAATTCCAAGTGGATTATAAGGCAGTTGTTAGGATGGATTAATTTTCAGCTTCAACACATGTTGATTGAAAATTCATGCAAAATTATGCATGTCCTTGTGGTCAGATTCATGTTCTACACCTTGTAGGCTAAAGTCATGCTTTTTTTACTTTTCCTATTTACACAAGAAGTGATCGCATTGGCTTTCAGCCGCTTCCTGTTGTGGTTATCTCCCACCAGTCGGTTTCTTTGTATTTTGTGTTATCTTCAATTTCAACTACAAAGTTTTTCATGACCTTGACAAGGACATTGAGTGCCACGCTGAAAACTGTATGAAGAACCCTTCAAGTTTTTTAATGTTTCCTAATTTGTTAATCAGAGGTGCTATAAGATAATTTTTGTAATAGGAAAATATTTTCTTTGTCAATATAGTAATTACAGAAAGTTTTTATTCCTTTTTCCCTTTTTGTGTCAAGTACAGGCAGTATTCTGTTCCCCAAGGCAATATGTTTCACTCATTAACTTACATGTACAGGTATGACCTTGGATGGCTTTTCAGATTCAATGAGGGGAGCTAAAACAAAAACCATTAACAAAGACAACCATTGAAAAAAAATTCAAAAGACAAGTACTTAGCATATCTTATGAGTTTGAAATTTGCATCATCATGCAACTGATCATCATGAGTTTTAATGATTGTTATTTTTTGTAAATATCAGAAGCAGTTCTAACTAGTATTCAATACATTTAGAAAGCAATTTAAAGGCACCTCTAGCCTTTCTTTCCCATAAGAATGTTAGTTAGGTTAACGAAGCTTCATTGCTTTATTGTTTTGGTGGGCTTTGGATGAGACGTGACCTAAACACAAATAAAATATGCTAGATATGTAAACACATATCTTATTACATGCACTTGGAGTCTACCAGATTTATTAATTAATAACCATTTACGGCGTTGAAAATAACCATTCTTTATGTCTCTTTTGAGAGAAACTTGAAACTGCTGGAATTAAGTTGAAAACAGATTAATCTAGGTCCTTTAATCTTTCCTTATTAGGAAACTTTCTGGTCATGAAATTATGATCTGTTTTATTGAAAGTAACCACTACACTTCACCAACATGTGAGAGTTGCTCAATGTAATTAGTCTTGATTGGAACTTTTTGTAACATCAAACAAGTTGATTTTCCTTTTTCTTCCTCAAAATGAAAAACCTTTGTGTGTAACTTGACAATTTTCTACAAAAGCGTTTATTGATTGTACGTGCTATTGAATAAAACACCCACCAAACATGTGCTCTTTAGTTGGGAGTAAACAGACAGGTATTTAATTAACCCTTTAGCTCTCATATCAAATATGTAATTCTCCTAACTGTCAACCATACAATTGTTATAAGGTTAGTCCGGAGAATTTTAGTATTGAATCAACTGATTATCCCTATATTGATATTTTTCTTTATTCTCATCACTTGTCTGGTTGATATTGTATTGATATTGTAAGGAGAAATTCTGTCTTGGTCACTCATGGAAGTTAAAGGGTATATATATATATATATTGTAAAATGTGTGTTTTGTTTGTTTTTTTTGTGAATTTAATTTTCAAATCTAATTCTGCTCTTTTATGTACAACTTTTGGTTTTTGAAGAACCCAATTAAAAAAAAAAAATTATAATAATTGCATCACAACTAATTAATTGTATCAGTGGAGTTCTCGCAAAAGAATTTCTATTTGCATAGAGGTTCTTCAAGAACAGAAGAAGAAAATTAGAAATAAAAAAAGTGGCTATTGTACCATTTTGAGCCTGTGCTTATTATAGCTAAGTTGTCTTTTACCAGGGTTCTGCTAACACAAGAATTTTTCTGTTGTGTTTCAGAGTTGTTGAGCTTCGTAAAGAGAGATCTCGAGATGCTGCAAGGAGCAGACGCGGAAAGGAAAATGCTCAGTTTGATGAGCTGGCCAAGCTCCTGCCACTACCCCCTGCCATCACGTCACAACTGGATAAAGCTTCCATTGTTCGTCTTACAATCAGTTACTTGAACATGAAGCAGTTCGGCAAGAGAGGTAGATAAATCACTTTTGCCTCTGTAGCAAAATAACTTTGTGCATTGCTTTACACAGTTTGGCCAGTATGTATTAATTGTATGGTAGCCCTTGATAGCTGCTGAGACTGTTTGCAAGAGAGCACCCTCAGCTCACTTATTATCTTGTTATTTTGAAAGGGAAACGTTTTCGCCTGGGTTCAGAATGCTCACAGATGTCTGTGTCATCTGCATCACCCATGTCAGATTTGGATGGAGGTAATGAGATCTTCCCTCCCTATGCCAGATACATTGTAGCTCTTGAGATCCCAAGATCTGACATTAAGTAGTTTGTGTTTATAGGGAAAACACGTCACTCTCTTGGTGTTCCTCTCCACCAAGGAGTATAAATGGATACCAATGAGTTGTCAGGGAAGCCTGATGAAATAATGGGGGGTAACCTTGTAATGACTTGCATCTCTTCAAGTGGAGAGTAGCAATACACTTAGTTGCTTCATGTTATGGAAACTGGGGTTCTGCTCTGGCTGTTCAGGGTGGGGGAGGGGAGGGGAGGGGGGGGTGATTTGGCTTGAGTACATTCTTTACCTATACCTTAATTATAACTCTTGTTATCACACAACAATACATTGACTTTTAAGCAGGACTTTAAAAGTGCATTGCAGGGTTTTCATTAAATAATGTTGTATGAGGAGGGATTTTATTTACATGGGAATTTAACCCCAAAAAAATTTTACATGTAGGTCATCAAAATTAGGCTGAAGAATTCTTTGTTGATGTCTGAAAATTCTTTCATTTCGGATGAAAAAAGAACACCTTGCCTTGTTGAATGAATAATGTAAAAAGCTTACTGTGTTATATTATTTTCTTTTAGAACTTCATACAGAGAGTCCCTCTCCACCTTCTTCCATTTCTTCTCCACCAGCTGTTGCTAGTACCTCTACAGGTAAGACAAAAAGATAGATAAAAATAAAAAAAAAATTGAACAGTTGCACCATGGGCATCTGGTGTCTTATTTTTCCTTACAGTTTCAGCCTTGATTCAGATGTTCAGGTCATGATAGCAATGGAAAGGGTCACCAATTTAACCCTTAACACTTAACCCCTTGTTAATAATTTTCCTTGTGAGGTTAGGTTGGAGAAATTGGTATTGAGTCAACTTATAGTCCCCTAATTGATATTTTTTTTATACTTGTCACTTGTCTGCTTGATATTTTATTGATGTTGTGAGGAAAAATTCTCTCTTGGTCAGTTAAAGGGTTAAAGAGCTCATGATTGTCACATACATGTAAAGGGAACATTGTGGATGTTGGGGTGTAACTGGTTTAGAAATGTTGCTGCAAGGGAATAGATTTGATTAAGAGGTGAATAAAATGAAAAGTAGCTTCAGGGTTAAATTAAAAATAGCTTACTGAACCGAAGTCTACTTATGGTTAATGTATATGCAAGTGGTGCTGTAGTTGGAAGATTCTGCATGTTAGTTAGAGTGTTCTCTGATTTTGAATGCTTAATGAGCATCTCATAGGTTACTTTCTCTCTCACTTTGTCACAACTCAAGTTTTACCAAATTTTGATACAATCAGGATGGGTACCTTGTATCTTCAAAGAATATTCTTCTTTTTTCCTTCATCAATTTCTTCATTGGTAGATCTCCTTGTCTGAAAATTTAAACTCTCTTGTTGTTAGGTTCAGTTGTGCCGTACAGCTCAGGCATCAATTACGGTGATCTTGCAGCAAACAGTGGTATATTTTTGTTGCAGGTAGGTATACATAGGGATGTTAAACCTGTTACTCCCACAAATGAATATCAGGGATTGTGTTTGCTTAAATTTGTGTAGTATTGAAAGCTCACTGAACATGAATTTTTTCTTGAAGAAAGCACAGAGGAAAGTTGATTTGTAAATCATAGACTGAAGGATTTTGTCCAAGAAATTCTTAATTTCTACCACACATGAGATAGAATGGGTTTTCTTACCTGTGCTTATCATGTTTTATTCTTCATTAGGCATTGGATGGATTCCTGTTTGTTCTTTCCAGCGATGCAAAAGTCCTCTATGTTTCAGAGACTGTGTCTGTTCATCTTGGACTGTCACAGGTTGGTGTCTGACAGACACACCTATAGTCAAACAGAGAGGTAGGCAGGCAGACAGTCAGACAGACAAATTCTGACAGGTATAGCTTTAGTCAGACAAATAGATAGACAGACAGACAGACAGACAGACAGACTGACAGACAGACTGACAGACTTGCTGAGAGGAAGACATACAGGCTGTGAGGTAGACTGATGGTGGGCTGAGAGGCAAGCAGATAGTAGGCTGAGAGACAGATGGGTAGAAGATAGACAGACATATAGCGAGTCAAGAGACATTCATTAAGGGGGCCAGTGTAAGTGACTCCTGCTAGATTGCTACATTCTGCTTGCTGTCTTTTATTCTTATGAAAAACAGGGAGAAGTTAATTTTGCTTTACTCTTATTCCATAAACCCTTTTAGATGATATACCTATTAGCACACTAGTCTTCAAGGTTTGACATTGACAGGGAATCTAAAATGGATTATTTACTACCCTTGGGTGAATATCAATACACTGTCTAATTAAAGTGTAAATATTCAAATAGATCAGTTGAAGGATGTTAAGTTACTTAGTTAAAATCTTGTATTCTCTCAACTTATTCACAAGGAATTGAATAGAAGTTAGAAGGGTAGAAGACATAAAAACTAAAAAGTGTGCATCTTTCCCCTTTCCTTCTTCAGGTTGAACTGACAGGAAGCAGCATGTTTGGCTACATTCACCCAGAGGATCAACAGGATCTTGTCAATGTGTTGCAAAATGCAAAGGAAGAATTGGAAAGCAATGGAAACTGTACGCCATCATCATCAGGGAGATACACAGATGATATTCCTTTCTTTGGAAACCAGCCAGGTAAGAAGAGCTAACATCATGGTGTGTTAATCAAAGGAGTCTTGAAAATCGAAAACCAATATTGATATGACAGCCAGTTAAAATGAAGAGTTAATATCATTCACATGTAGCCAATGAGAAATACATTGTATTTAATGAATGGCTATCGATATTGGAGAAATTCAATTCACTATGTTTTGTTAAAGTGTTGTTCAAGTTTGGCAACTGATCGGTTGAGAAGATGGTTTTTGAGGCCATTTTTTAGAGCTTCATGAAGCAAATCCATCATTATCCTAGATTAGTTTTGAAAGTGAATTAAGAATCACTCTTTAACCCTTTAATAGTGATGAAAATCTGATTTCTCTGTACATAATCACTACTAAATCATATATGAATATTTTGAGAATACATGAAATGATCATCCACTCAAGAAGCCCTTGATTGTTAAACAAATTCTCCTTGTCAGTACCACAGGAAATGTATAGAGAACAGTATGGAGAATATGCATACTGATGTTAGGGTGTAAAGGGTTAGGGGGACTATTTATGATTCTGGTGTTTTTTTTTGTTTTTTTTTTTTGCATATGTGTGAACATTTCTTGGGTTGAGTCCGCCATAAGTGTAGCTTATGTCTCCTCTGTAGGTATGGGTGACTATGTATCCCTGAACAACTAAGTAAGTCTCTACTTGCATTTTTTTTCAGGTTTTCTTGATGATAGTGGACGGCCCAATGCAGAGAAACCAAAATCATTCTTCTTGCGAATGAAGTGCACTCTGGTCCGCAGAGGAGGTTCTTACACCAAATCATCTGGTTTCAAGGTTAGTTGGGCTGTGTCTCAATCAGTTATTAATGGATGACATAAACATGTATACCTTTTCGTATTGTAGTTAGGAGTCTTTCAAAATCTGGTGCAATTTCCAAAGTAAACCACTTGTCTGAGTAGCTCTGAAACAGAGGGCCAGAAATACAGTCAGTCTGTTACAAAGTATGCAACCAACTAGAAACATATTCACTCCTCTGAGAGTGATTAGGATCTAATTTCTCCCCCAACATCACTGTTGAATAAACCATAAAGGTCATGACAATATTGGAATTGATTGCAAAATAAAGAAGCCCCTGACTATCAAACAAATTCCCTCAGTCAGTGCCACAGGAAATGTCTTAAAGATACAAATGTAACAGGGCTATGAATATGAATATTATTTTGGTGTGTAAAAAGGTTAAGGGGACTTTTTAAGACAACAACTAAAATTGAAATATCTGTTATATATTGTTGTTTTTATCAGTATTCATAAAATGATTTTCATGTCATTATTATAGAATACAGTGAACACTGTGACTTGATTCTGGGAATCACAATATTGTTCAAAACTTAATAGGCTAACTATCAATGACTGTCGATATATGAAAATAATATTTGTGAACTGTGGTTTAAGAAATGAATTTTAAAGCTATCAAAGAGATCATTAGTTCAAATCCTATACAGGCCTAAATTTTTCAGGCCCTATTTTCACCACTGCCTTGGTAGTACTCTCTGGTTCCACAGGTAGCATGAAATGAATGTGAAAGTGATCCTCGCAGTAATGAACTTGACTTGTTATAGGCAGTAGTGAAAATAAGACTTGAAAAAAATTCAGGTCTGCACTGGGAAGATAGCTTTCAAATTTATTTCACACTAACTACAGAACCAGAAAGTAATAATTATTGCAATTTTAAGTGTCTGAGTTTATTTGTTTCTTGTGCTTCATTTGCTTTAGAACACAATTTTTTGCTCTGTGATGACTTTTGCAGGTGCATGTGTCACATGACAAGTCTTAATATTGACTGTGAGATATTTATCTTCTGTAGGTTATTCACTGCATGGGAAGAATGAAAGCATATTCTGCCGGTGGCCTTCCTGGGCCTAAGTATGCATTTGTGGCAATTGGACAACCTCTGCCTACAATGAACATCAATGAGTTACCACTGGAGTGTAACATGTTTGTGAGCAGAGTAAACATGGATCTCAGAATTGTTTATTGTGAGGGAAGGTATGTATGGAAGGTTATGTTATGTTGAATGCCATTGCTGCATGTACTTCCATTGTGATGTGTCATTGCAAAAACCTAGGGAATGATGAATCTTTTCATATTGTTTCAGACAGCCTTTACACAAATTTTATAAAAGAAATAATAAAGATTCTTTGTTTACGCTCTCTGATAACTGAGTCCAAAGTTATCTACCTTTTTTTTTTTTAGCAATTTTGATATACAACTACAGTTAACTTAAAGTAGGAAAAAAGGTCTAGATGGAGTTGGGAGTATAATTAAAAACTCTGTCCTAAATTGGCAAATTGTACTAAATGATAAGTTGTTTTTTTTTTGTCTTCTTCTTCTTCATCTTGTAGAATTCACAAGTTTATGGACTATTTTGCCCGAGATATTGTGGGGATATCAGCATATGATTTCTACCATGGCAATGATATTGCTATTATCCAGTCACACCACGCAAAATGTAAGGAGTAACTTTTAAACCTCTCTTTGCATTAAAATTGCTAAGTTAGCTGACAGGTATTTTAGAATCGAAAAACTTATCAGCTGTTGATTGGCGTCCTGGTTAAAAAAAATAAATAAGAAGAATAGAAAAAAAGGAAAAAAAAACCTTTATCAAAGAAACCTGTTAGGTTTTTCAGCCTGTCCCCTCTGCTAACTATGTTTACAAGATTTTATTCTAATTAACAGCAACATAGATGACCCTAAAGCCACCAAAGAATAACGAATTGTTAACCGTTTCACTCCTCAAGATCCCATTAGTAATTCTCCTTACTGTCTGTCATACAATTCTTATGAGGATACTTATGAGAATTTCGTATTGGATCAACAGATAATTCCTTAATTCATATTTTCTTTACTCGCACCACTTGTCTCCTTGATATTGTATTTTTTTTTGTATGAAGGAATTCTGTCTTCGTTATTCATGGGAGTTAAAGCGTCACCTTTCTTAGGCATTGATTGTAGTTACTGAAACAGTTAATTGCTTTCTCAACAGTCCTAACAAAGGGTCAAGTTCTTACCAAGTACTATCGCTGGATGAACAAAAATGGCGGCTGGGTTTGGATGCAAACCAAAGCTTCTCTTATTCCCCATCCAACAAATCCAGAACTCAAACAAATGCTCTGTCTGAACTACATTGTGAGGTAAATACTTCATACATGAACATGAACATGAACTCTCAAAACTTAAATGAGTTTGTGAACGTGTGCAAAAAATGAAGCCTTACTTAGGTAGCAATCTAGTGATATGGTATGGCAGTTTTTAATATTTTTGAGGGAACTGGGCACTAGGAATGTGGCTGACATACTTGGGTCTGGGTTCTAACGTTGGCCTGGTGCATCTACTCAGACTATTGTATGGTGCTCTTAGGAAAAACTCTCTACATTTATGGCGCCTCTCTCTAATTAATAGTTCAAATGGTTATGATTGGTGTAGAGTATGGGTGTCGCTCTATCAAGGAACTGTGACTTGATCAGGAAGTCCGTTTGTTTTTACTTTGAGTATTGGAGCACTCTTTGATCGAGTGTCACAATACTAGGGCGCGGGTAAACGCGGACGATCAATCCGTGATTGATTTTAGTTTTGCATCTGATTGGTTGGGAAAGTGGCGCGAGTTTTCTGGACCAATCACGGAACAAAAAAAGAAAAACCAATGGAATCCCAGATTACTTGTGGGCCATCGTAATTACTTTGGTTTTTGGTTTTACGACACACAACTAAGAAAGGGCTCCAACTAATAACTAGTTTAACTTTTCAACTCCTAAGATTTAATTGATAACTCTCCCTATTGGCTATTACAAATTTTCTTGTAAATCAGTTGTGAGAATTTGGTATTAGATCAAGATAACAACAACTACCTGATAAGATTCTCCTGTTTGCTAGGAAATGTACGGTAAATTTATGAAGAGTTACATCTTAATTACTTGTGGGAATTAAAGGGTTAAAGCGTTGCTGATTTATGTTTGTCTTTGATAGTGATGTGGAACACCGCGGTGTTGTGCTTGGAATGGCGCAGTTGGAGGACAAACCACCTCTCACTCATGCTTATATCACTGAAGTGGAAAATGAGTCAGATACGACTGGCGAGCTGAAAGATGCACAATACGACGATCAAGTCATGATTTATCCAAAGTGGCATGAAACATGTAAGTATTAGTATCAGTAACAGCAGCTGCTTATGACTCAGTCACACAGTCATAACGCTTTTTTCAGTCAGATGCACATGTCCGTATCCGAAACTGTTGACTAGACTTTCCCGAGCATGTGAACTCTAAGAGATAAATGGTGTCAAATCAAAGAATACCTTCCTATTGATATTTTCCTTTCTTCTTATCACCTTTCTGCTCGAAAATGTGGTGCTGTTGTGATGAGAGATTCCTTTGGATCTTTCCTGGTAGTGAAAGGGTTAATTAGAATTATCCAATGCCTAGAGTTCTTCTTTAGGGCACAAAGAGAAAGAAATTTTTTGCCTTTAAACCCAAAATCTTGGGGTTCGATTGTCAAAAACGCAAGGATATGTAAAGGATTCAGTTTTAAGTTTAGAACGCTTTTCCGTTTCACCAGTACTGCATCTATGTTCAGATTGCTGTCAGAGGGTGAAGCTACGTTGCTTTCCTCGTCACTTGCTACACACGCTCACGAAAACGCACGCGGTCACACGCACACACTTACACAAAACTTCACCTACATGTATTCGGCTACTTTTGGTTGCTTGTGTGGGAAAGATTTTCCAGTTGTAACCTGATATAGCTTATTTAACTCTCAATTATCTTCTTTTTAGCTGACAATCTTGTTCCAAAACCCACATTGATTGACACCATCGCCCTCGACCGGACGGGTTATCCCAAAACCACGTCAGCTGATCTCACTGGGTTTGATAATGAAGTATTCACCACCTCAGCTGAAGCATGGGGTCAAGGTACCTCCAACACCTGGAGTAACCACCACACAATGTCGAGGGGCAACAGTATTCCTGGAGATGGGGGGTCGACTAGTACCTTGGAAGAAGACGTCGAAGACTGGGCCAAAATGATCCGAGCTGAGCTGTCAGAGTTAGATCAAAACATCGTTAATTACGTGGCAACTGGAACTGATATCCCTCAGCCGGACGCAAGCCTTGAATCTTTACTACTGAATCGTGGCCTGGACGGATTGCCGTCTAATGGTACGATCCAACATTTGGTCACACCAAAGATTGAAGAAATTACAATGGATAGTGATGATTTTTCGCTGTCCTCAGTACCTGGTGTAAACACTCAAACTATGCCTCCTGTCAGTATGCCATCACGAGCGTTTGAAAACTTGCCTATAGATGATTTCGCCCGTGACACCAAACCTAACCTAATTCCCATGGAACTTGAAGGTGCCATGAGTGCAGTGAGTGGGTCAAAGCCTCGCGGCAGCAACAACCCTTGCAGATTTGGCAATGCAAATTCTTCTGGGGAGAGGAGATTCCAACCTAAGGCGCCGCCCGCATTTAGTCATCCGAACAATGCTACTCCTTCGAGTACTCCTATGATGAATGTAACATCACAAACGCAAAGTATCCCCACTGCAAGAGCTCCAAACACCATCACGACAACGCAGGGTAGAAATACTACAGGAAGGGTTCCACAACCTCCAAGAGACGACCTGGCACTAACAGGCAGTGCAACGTTTAGAGTTCCAACTGACGCTTCACGATTTTCAAATCCAAATGATGGAAAGATGCAGTTCTTTCAACAGCTAAAAGAAGTGGCTCCTCAAGAATTGAACATCACGGACCAAATGATGGTTGATCTCATCGATGAACTGATGGCCGATAGAGACCAAAGTAGAGACAACAGGTTAGCAGCACTTGTACAGCAAGGAGGCTATGCCCAGGTGGATCAGATGCCTGTGATCAAACAAGAAGTGGTAACTCCCACGTTACCAGAACCATCAAGTTCATTTCCAAGTTTTTCGGACAGCATCGCAACACAGAGTAGTCAACCTCGTGTTGTTAACAGTTCTCTACCTTACACATCTTCAGACACTCTCAGCCGGCTTCCAGGAGGTCAGAATACAGTAGTTACTCAGCCAAGAGCTCCACAAAATGGAACTGTTCACAACCAAGCCCTCCCGATGAGATATCAAAACGGAAATTCTCATACTCAGCTTGTAAACCAGGGGGATAACAACATGAACTTTTTGAACTGTTTACCAAATGAAAGTGTGACCAGCACGCAAACTGGAACATCGACAACGAGTAACAACATGTGGAACACCAACTCTGGTTTTAAGCCGAATCCTATGCAACAAGGAATACGAAACTTGTTACAAAGCAACAACAGTGCACCGCCCATGCAAACCACAAACGTGAATTCGCAGCTAAATGTTGGCGTATTTCCTCAGCAGCCCGACATGACTTTCTTGTCGCAGCAGAATGTGAACAGCATGATGCCTGAGAACGGCACTAGAAATGTACTAAGTAACAGTGTGATAACTCCGTTGGACCTGCAAGAGTTGAGCTCTCTGATCCAGTCCGCCACCCATCCAGCTCAGAATTATCCGAACAGCAATGGTGGCTCCATACAGCAGCATTATCATAAATTATGACAATCGTAGGAGCAACTCCCTCAAGGCCAGTTGTAAACAAGGTGCTTACCTACGGTAGTGTTGGCCCATGTCTTCCAGGTGTAAGCTAGTACAATAATGTGCTTCAGTACAAATGATCAGTGAAGAGTATCCTATTCACTATTGTGCTTCTGATTTTATCAATGTACAAATCTTCATGCATAGAAAAGTATTCGCAGATTGGTGGCAGAATTCCTCGGGTCATTCCATTTTTTTTTTCGAATATGTACATAAGTATAAATTTATAAAGTAGTGTTTTCATTAGCATCCAAAAGGTGTCAAAGCAGAATTTGAGTTTTTCTCTTGGACAGATAACGCGTAGAAAAGAAACGAGCTCTTTTATCTCTGTATATATATACGTTTCTGTTAATAATTATTAGCAGTAAGGTGCACAACAAAATAGAAATTTAATAGCCCCTTATCAAATAGTAAAACGTATCAATACCAGTGTAAGGTTATATGTTTACGTACATGTATTTAGTCTCTTCAAGGTACCTTAAAGTCTTTTTATGTATGGTTAGGGGTCTGAAACAATTGGCTTTTTTATTTGAATTTGTTTGAGCATTTGTTAGGGTGTTTGTGTTACATTTTTGGTCAGAAACTTCGTGAGCTTGAAGCAAAATTTAAAAGATAATGCATGATGCTGTTTTGCTTGCTCTACATTAGAGTTAAATAATTACTACACCTTCTGAAAACATATATTCTCTAAAATTTACTTTCCAAATCCTGGCGGTGATCTGGTTCTCAATGCAAGTTACAGCAGCAGTGGTATTGTTTTGATTTTAATCAAATCAATACTTGGTAGAATTACACATTTCAGCTTTGTTCAAGCCAGTTAGCGAGGTGACTCTTTTTATTAATCATAGAGCATTATTGATATTTTTTAAGTGTAGGAAGTTGATTAATTAATTTGCTAAAATGCTGAGTAATGCTTTACCTTTTCTTGTTTGCAAAGAGTGGCGAGGATTAACATCACAATTATTGCTTTTCTCCAATTGTTCAAACCCAGCTATGACAAAGATTAGCTTGAATAATCTGATAAAAATACAAGATAAGTGAATCTTAGTTCGTTTGCGTGATCATTGACAAAGCTCAAAATTTCGTAAGTGCTTAAAGAAAATGTCAAGAGGTTAAATAATTGTGAAGTCATTTCTTGAGAGCTCATTGCAGTACAAATGGCCTCATAAAGGTAATCGAAATATTGGAATGAAATTACTTTTAGATAAGCCTCTTGAACCGAAGATAGCTGCTTTTTTTACAAAGAGAAACTTACCCCTTGGAAAATTACTTATGCTACAAATGTTCATTGTTCCTTAAAGCAGTTATGCTAGGGCATGCTTTATATCCTTAACGGTGGCTTGACAGGATTTGCTACAAGTAGGCGTTATTTTCATAAAATAATTTTCATGAGTTTACGAAGCTAGAAACAAAAATTTTAACGGAGTACTATGCAGTAGTAGATTCCACGAAGTGAGACGTGTAATGTTGTGTGATAATATTGTTATGCACACTCCGCAGACTTGCATATTTACTTATTTACTTAATACATTTAGGCTAACAACCGCAGAGAATATTTAGCGCCAATGTTGTGTAACATTCGCCTGGCAGGCCAGCTCACTGGTATGGCTCCACCCTAGCGTGTAAGGTCTAGGTACAAGAGTAGTGTAAAACTTTCCGTAGTCAATTTTCTATCACTTCTGTATTCTTTGTTTTTGTTTTGGCGAGCGTCAAAGCTCCCCTCAAGTGTTTTTCATCATATATTAATACTTTGCGAGTCAATTCCATTAGTGTTGGATTTTGCCTCCCTAGTTAGATATGAAAGCGGTAATCGTGTTCCCTAGAGGTACATAGAAATGACAGTTCTTCGCACAAGTCGTTTATAATTCACCCAGGAACTCCAATGGGAATGTAGTCACAGTATGCAGGATAAATTATTTCACCTAATCTCTTTTAGGCGAGTCCCTTTCCATTGAAACTTAGTCTAACCATTACCTCCAATTTTTATCTCAGTTAATCTCCCAAGTATTAAAATTCATTCGACCTGTTTTGATTCGGCTCTTTTAGAACCGATTGCGAGGTGCGTGGGAAGAGTACTTTCCCAGTTGCACTCAACACTGACAACTCCTTCTACCTTCCTTGTAAAAGTTGTGGGAGGCTATGGGTTACCCCCTGAGAAGAAATTGCCTTTACTTACCCATCCCTCCCGTCTATTACTGTCTTTCTCTAGGATGTGTGTATGTGTGTTTGTGTCAGGCAGAGAAGAACACTAATGGTATTAACTTTGTTGGAATATAACAAGTATAATAATCCAATTCGTACATTATTATTCGTGGGAAAGCATATTTTCCATTAAGACCACTGCTTTATGAGCAATAAACTGTAAAGATAACTAACAGATGTGGCTGGTTGTCGTTTTTCGCAATCGTAATTCTTGTAAGTATTTTCCAGAGACGTTTCCTTGAAAATTGATTGTTCAGAGACCACTTCAAGTAAAATTTGCAGCCTCCGAGGAGACAAGCGTTTGCCTTTGGTGTAATCAACCCTCTCTTTTGGGCTAACGGAGCTCCCGATAACTTCCGAAATGCACCGAAGGCGTCGCCCCGACTTCTCAAGTGCCGAAGATATACCGAAGCCTCTCGAAGATTGCATATATACTCTTCAGTGTGAAGATTTAATTACAAGAGACACCATAACATTGTTGGATTTTCGCATAGTTTTGTATAAAATTACGAAAAAAGCTGATGAAGGTTTGATTACTTGTTAACTTGTTTTTACCCACCATGATACCGTGATCTCGCGGTTAGTAAGGGTCTGGGTTGAGGTAACAAATTCCCGCCCTTTTCGCGCTGGACGTCGAGTGCCATACTTTGCAACATGGCGACCATCTGCTCGACCTGAGAAGAAGTGAAACAGCAATTAGACATGATTAGAGGTTCACAGACACGGAAAGCGAAGATTATGCCAGGAAGGAAGTTAAGGATAGGGTTTAGAGGGCTCCAGCTTCCCCGCTTTTATCAAAAGTGGTTAAAGAGACCAGAGGGAGTAGGGAGCTAACAAAAACTGCAACGACTAAACTTTTATAATTTGATAGGTTTTTAGAAATTGACAATTGTCTTGCTCATTGGATTCAGAGTACTTGAGAGTGCGGCGGTGAAGTTTGATTCAGTGGTTTTGCCTCGTTTACACCTCTTAGTATTCATCAAAATGATTGTTACCTTTTGCAAAGCATAGCATTCATCATGCAATGAAAATGAATTTGTTGTTTATTTGAGTATCGATCTTTTCTCTCGTGCATTTGACATCCACTGGTCAAGAAATATTTCTTTCGAAGATGATCGAGTACATTATGCCTAACAGAGCGCTTTAGGTATTTACTGACTTCAATGCCAAGAAATATATAAAATTTGAAATTTCTTCTCCTTTGTTCTGCTACAAACACGAGTATTTTTCTCAAGATACATTTTGATTTGTTTAATTGTGATAGCGTGACGGCTCAAGTTATGACTACCGCTTCAAATAGCATTGTTTGCTCCTTGAAGGCTCGTGACTTCATGTCTGACCAAGTTTCTTCGGGTTATTCCTGAATGATTCATTTTCTTTGGTGATATATCGTACTGACTAAACCTTAACATCAATATGCACATTCTCCACATTAAGAGATCCTTGCAGCTAAGAACACTACTGAAACGAGTAGTTGAAAACAGGACCTGGAAATTCAGGCCCGTGCGAGCCTGAATTTTTTTTTCAGGTCCTATTTACAACTACTCGTTTCAGTAGTGTTCTTAGCTGCGAGGATCTCTTAATTTCATCTCTCCACCGCAGTGCAAATATATGAATTTTCATATATCTAAAATCATCATTCTCTGCACTGTTATTTAGCCATTTCCTAAGGTGCTGACAAAGAGAATTTGTTTAACAATCAAGTGCTTCTTTAGTAGGTCATTACATACTTTATTTTTCCTATCATTTTCCTAACCTTAATGGTTAATTCAGGGGTTATATTGTAAGGAGAAATAAGATGTTAGTCACTCAAAGGGGTTAAAAGGTGAAAAGGTTATGTATGTCAGCTCCAATCACAACTTGACTGTTGCATAACATGTCACTGAAAGGTTTAAAGCAGCCATTGCTGATGAGAGGTATTCAGGAGGTGGATCCAGGGAACTCGATAGGTTAAGAGTCCAAAATTTGATTAAAAAACACACATTTTTTTACATTAGAGCCTAAATAAGCTCAGAAGTAAGTTAAGATAAGTACATTTTATATACTTTAATTTGAGTATGATATGTGATTCTGTTGTTGTTAGAAGAATTTTGGTTTCAGGAGGGTGGTGAGGGGTGTTATTTCCTTGTGAGCAAAGAGTACCAATAGAAAAAGCACTTCTTCCTAAGTGATCTCAACTTTATTGTTGTCAAGAAAATTTGCATAAGCAGCTCAATCTCTAGGTTTTTGTGAGACCATGCTAAATTTCTGAAAAAATATGGCCCACATTTTGCTAGTGGTAGATAACAAGTGTTATTATATATTGGACTTGCTATGAGAAATCTAATTGGTGGAGAGCACTCAATCAATATACAATAATGTGTGAAGTGGACATGATCAATAATCTAGTATCTGCAGTGAATATTACAATTCAAAGTCTTGCTAGTTTCCAAGCCCCTCATCTGTGTAGTATTACCAACAACAGGAACATGAAACACGATTTTGCAATCTGGAACTTGGGCCAAAATCTCAATGCTGATTTCACTCTTGCTCAAAATCACCAACTGAAAACACAATTTAGGTTACTAAGCGGTGACAGAGACACAAAAACAAGACATTTGCTACCTGCAACATGATAATGCAATCAGCAACTTCAGTGGAATCTCGAATAATTCCAAATTTGCTTAGAATTGTCATCTGGAATTACAATTTACGATTAGTTGTAGTAGCAGAAATGCACAAACAAGATATGACAAATTTATCGACGAAATATTTAAACGATATTTTTCTCAGCATCTATTTAAACTCTTTTGTAATTGCCAAAAGCATATTTTGGAGATTTACCAGAGGATAATGTGCCCCAACTAACGACTGACAAACTTTATCACGTTCGTTCACCCTAGCGCGACTTGGTGAGTCGTTTTTAATTGTTAGCAAATATTGCTCCGTGGTCATCGCAAAGTCCTGAAACCTCGAATTCATCTGCATGGCGTGACGAATGTGATTTCCAAGGGTGGAGGCAACCCCTCCAAAGTGCTGCAAACCCTCAAAAGCCAATTGTTTCATCTCTTTAATCTTTCCTTGTAATTTTGAAATCTCCGCGTTGGATTTCTCTAACTTGGCTTTAGCTTCACTGAGCTTTTTCTCCATGTTAGCCATTTGCAATTCAACCATCCTCCTCTGAGAGAGAGGCTCGAGTTGATCGTACAACTCGTGGCTCTTAAGATCTTCCGTGGAAAGATTTTGCGTTTTCTTGATGCAATCAGTTTTCAGTCTTTCCAAGGAAAAATTTTGGGCGACGATTAGGGTTTTCATGATGGAGCTGATTTCGTTCTTCTTTTCCTTTCCCCACAGAAGATAATCTTCACATTTTTGTGTGAGTACTGTCATTTGGTATTCTCGCGCAAGAGGCAACAAGAAATCCAAGTTGTTGTCTGTCACTCGTTTGCAGAAACTCGGATAAATAACCAGCAACATCTCTCTTATTTCAGTAGCTTTCTTGCCGGGTAGCGGGATCTCATCGGCATCTTTCTCTTTAAATTCTGCGGAGAACATTCGAGAGAAAACAGGAGAACACATCGACAACATGAGACGATGGACATGGATTTTCTGTCCTTCCACCAGTAGAACAACATCGCTCTGTTCCCACGGCTCTGAAAAGTCTTGTTCATGTTCTTGACCTTCTTTGCCTTCTTGCTGCATTTTTATGTTGCATACAACGAAATGAATTTGTTATTCAGGGTCAGAGAGGTCTGATCAACAACTTCTCTAAACTAACAATGCCTTTTCAGAAAGCGCCAGAATAAAATTAACTTCCTTCTTTCTAAGAAAATGGTTCAGCTTCATAACGAGGCTAAACAAACTCTCGGTCCCAGTTTTCTGGTCATTGAACGTGTTTCAGGACCGACGACATTTCGACTTGTCCTCAATTGAATTACGCCTTCGCTCGTCGTTATTCCTATGGCTTCTTTCAATGTATAAGATTTTATTTTGCAAAGACGTTTTATAGGGCATGTCTTGCAAGCTACCACCAGCCTAGCAGTTCGTTGGCTTCTCTTTCTATCAAGAAAAAGCCAAAAAAAAAAGTAAAACCACAGACCTTTGTGGTTTAGTGTAAATAGTGTAAGCAAGTACTAACCTTTGTGCACCTGACGAAAAGCTCAGGAAGAATAAGGATATTTTCGCGAAGGCAAGGAATAAATCACTCCCGTTCAATCTGTGCATCCGTCGGCTTATCCATAGATGTAACGACTTCTTTCTCACAGGTTTTTGACCAAACTTGGACACCATCTACCTGCTAAAACAGGAAAAACATAAGAAAAGCAACCGTCGTTAGTCTATGACCGGACAAAACAAAGACAAAACTTCACCTTAGGCAAATGAAAACTAAACACCGGCCTACAGGAAGTACAACGGAAAATAAGCTGATAAATAGAAAAAACCGCAAATCGAAATATTTTTCGAAGTCAAAGCTTTTCTTTATCCTAACTGTGACAGCCTTTACAAGTTGTCAAGTGAAGTTTGGACGACGTTTAGACGTATGGCACGTCTTTAAAGTCATTTATAAACTGTATAAGTGTTCTTTTAAAAAATATAACAGTCGCATTGGTGTGTGAGGTTGCAAAGAATATCTAAATACTTCAGGAGAGGATGAGTAGATAGATTCCTAAAGATGATTATGTGCATAATTAAGTCGATTGGAAACCGCGGGCGTCAGGGAAGACACATGGAAGGGTTGTGGTAAAAACAGTGTAGGTTGAAAATGACTGAGAATGTGTTGACAGAAGATAAGTATGGGAAGTCTGCGTTGTTACCTATGGCTATCAAAATTCCTTTTTTTTTTTTTTTTTCGAGAATTTTTCTCCTAAGTTCTCTGTATGTCCGCTTCGAATTAATCGCTTCAAGGCATGCATGTGATGAACTAGTTAATTCACCAAGTAATATAGTGGTATTTTTAGGTACACGTGACTCCATATGACTCTATTTTTAAGAATATAGTCCTATGGTAAAGTACCGCATTTTCCTCCCACTCTAGGAAATGAATTAAATATTAATCTCTTGGCTCAGTTCAAGGCATTGGTAAAAAGATGCTGATTTTTTCAGCAAGGAGATCGAATCTCCTGACAGTTCTCTATCAGTTTTTTTTTCCACGGCAATGAAAAGTAGGAAAAGGAAATTAAGCGTGCAAATATGGAAGTACACAGAGATGTAGGTGATCATGTACAAAAGATTCGTGAAACTTTCGCTTCCTTGTTTAGTCTACAACGAGGAAAAACTGTAGCTCGGTAAGGAGCAGAAGTGGACGATTTTGCGACGATCAAAATACAAAATTCGAAATTACAGTAAAAACCGAAGATGTTCACCTCTAAATAAGTGGGAAATCTTCCCTTTCGCTTTCATGAGCTCTCTCGATCACCGATTTCGGATGTTTCCTTCTTCATACGCGTACAGAGCGACGGTTGTAAATAGTGAAGCGCTGACAGGTCAGCAATGACAAGTTATTCAAACTAATTTATTTGACATTGGTGGCCGTACGTGCCTTGCATACGATATCAACTCATGTGCTAAGACGCACGTGACCGCATGTAACACATTTTGTCGCACGGAAGCGAGTGTTAAGTATTTCAGAATTACTTTGTTTTCTATAAATCACTTTAAAGTGAATTCTTTTATGATGTTTTTATGTTTTGAGTTGTGATAAAAATTATGGTCGAGTCTCCGTTCTTAGTAACAAAAACAAAAACAAAAAACCTTCATTAGACTTCTTTTTAATGATTCATCACTGAGTCAGTGGTCTCACAGCTTAGCATAATGAAACAGTTTGATAGATGATAAAACATCACGTTTGTTTTGTTTTGCTTTTTTTTCCGCACAGAAGCCTTGAAAAATCTCGTTTTTTAACAACTTGTTTTGAAATTAAGTTTTTTTCAAGGAATTTTTTTTTTAAGCTAAGATTTACAAATTTAGATTCTGAGAAAAGTCAATAAGATTTAAACAGTTACAGACAAGTTTAAAGTTCATAATTAGAGCTCTCCAATGAAATGCAGCAATTGACAAAAGGAGTTGACTAAAGAAAGTGTTGTCAATCTAGCGGAACTAGATTGACGACACGTGCTGATCGTATCAACTTTGACAATTTCTCTTCAAATTAAATGCATATCGGCCACAACACAGCAATTGGTGGAGACTCGAATAATTTAAGAATTTTAGGTTTTTGGATTGAACGTGAGGTCCAGAATCCCCTACTATTTACCTGACTCAATCAAGAACTTGATAAAGAGCAGATTGAGTCACAAAGACTCATTGATTTTCCGGTAGTTTTTTTTGCAATATTTTCCGCGGATATGGGTTGACAGGAATACTGGAGTATTCCTTGCAAGGGAGAGTCACGGGGGGGGACTTAACCCCTAGGATAATATTTGATGGGCTTTGCATGGCAAGTGCCTGAATTTTCCCCGGAAAATTTTTTTAGATCTATAAAACAAGAACTATTGTCTGCCTTAACTTGAATTTTGTACTGGGTAACTGAGCGGTTGAAAGTCGATCGCGTAATTTCGGTTAGGATCGGTAAGGAAAGACTTCTTACAGGATACAGTGTGAAAATCCATGGATTAGACGGCTCATCTAATCAATAGGAAAAGATTTAAAAGGATTTCACTAAATCAGAACCTAGGAAGAATAAAGTAAATAGACTTTGGCATTTTAAAAATGAACCCTTTGAATTTTTATTTACTCGTTTTGAACAAGACACCATGTCGCTCTTAATGAACTAAAAAGAACTACGTGCTCATATTGTGTAAAGGGATCATGGTGAGCTTCTTCCTAATGTTAGTGCCAAACACATGTTGTCAGACACCATACGTCACGGAGCGCTTCTTTCTTATTTCAGTGCCAAACACATATATTGCCAGACAAAGGTTGATATTTCAGACCGTTTCAAACAATTTGGACTTGGATACGTGAGGTATGTAACTCGTTAGATGTTGGCAAAGGTCACGTTTGCAAGTCTGAGACTGTCTGAACAGCTCCAAGCCATCGTTCCGAATTTTTCTAGGGGTAGATAATAAGTGTTATTATACATTAGACTAACTATAAAAAAAATCCGATCGGTCGAGAACATTCAATCAATATACAATAATGTGTGAAGTGGACATGATCGATAATCCAGTATCTGCTGCGAATATTATGTTTATCATGTAGAGTTCAATGTCTCCTTAGTTTTCATGCCCCTTGTCCGTGTAGAGTTCTCAAACGTTTACGAATTAAACTCATAGAGAACTCAATATGGCTGAACGTTTTTAAAAAACCTATTATAGAACAATTATCGAATTTGGTTTTTGCTTGATATCATGAATTATCAAACCTCATGACTGTGTTATCTGCCTTGGCCTTTCGCTTCAGCAGATGACCTCAGTATTGCAATAGCAGTGTTTTTTGGTTTTGTTAAGTGTGATAATTCTATTATCATTATTTACTAATCATTGGAAGTCACATACAGCTGCCAGTTATAGCAGAGGTTTGTTCAATGATGCACACGCTTTTTTATGACAGAGGTAATGAAGAACGATTGTTTTCCGTGTATTGTTAAATAGTGAAGTAATTTACCACATCATGTCAAGAAGACTCCTGAAAGCTTACAGTCAACCCTGTTGTTACCAACAATAGGAACATAAAACTAGATATTGAAATCTGCATCTAGAACTGGAGCCAAGAAATCAATGATTCCACTCTTGCTCAAAAACACAATTTAGGTTACTAAGCAGCGACAGAGATCGACACGATAACAAGACTTGCTATACTTAATAACGGGATGGAGTAAACTTTTTGCTATCTAAAAAGACCTGTATCATGAATCTGCAAGCAGCTACTTCAGTGGAATCTCAAATAATTCCAATCTTGCTTTGAACTGATGTCTGGAAATACAATTTACGTTACGTAGTAGTAGCAGAAACGCCCTAACAAGATATGCCAAATTTATCGACGAAATATTTAAACATAGATATTTTTCTTAGCATCTATTTGAACTCTTTTGTAATTGCCAAAAGCTTATAGTGGAGATTTACTAGAGGAGAATATGTCCCATTTAACGATAGACAAACTTTATCCCGACCGTTGAATGTAGCACGACTGCTGGTGTCGTTCTGAATGGTTTTCAAATGTTGCTCCTTGGTCATCGCAAAGTCTTGAAACCTCGAATTCATTTGCATGGCGTGACGAATGTGATTTCCAAGGTTGGTAGCAATTGATCCGACGAACTCCAAACCTTCGGAAGCCAATTTTTTCATCTCTTTAATCTTTCCTTGTAACTTTGAAATCTCCGCGTTGGATTTCTCTAGCTCGGCTTTAGCTTCACTGAGCTTTTTCTCCATGTTATCCATTTGCAATTCAACCATCCTCCTCTGAGAAAGAGGCTCGATTTGATCGTACAACTCGTGGCTCTTTATATCTTCCGTGGAAAGATTTTGCGTTTTCTTGATGCAATCAGTTTTCAGTCTTTCCAAGGAAAAATTTTGGGCGACGATTAGGGTTTCCATAATGGAGCTGATTTCGTTCTTCTTTTCCATTCCCCACAGAAGATAATCTTCACATTTTTGTGTGAGTACTGTCATTTGATATTCTCGAGCAAGAGGCAACAAGAAATCTAAGTTGTTGTCTGTCACTCGTTTGCAGAAACTCGGATAACTAACCAGCAACATCTCTCTTATTTCAGCAGCTTTCTTACCGGGTAGCGGGATCTCCTCGGCATCTTTCTCTTTAAATTCAGCGGAGAACATTCGAGAGAAAACTGGAGAACACATCGACAACATGAGACGATGGACATGGATTTTCTGTCCTTCCACCAGTAGAACAACATCGCTCTGTTCCCACGGCTCTGAAAAGTCTTGTTCATGTTCTTGAACTGCTTTGCCTTCTTGCTGCATTTTTATGTTGCATACAACGATTTCTAACAAACGTATTTGTTATTCAGGGTCAGAGAGGTTTGATCAACAACTTCTCTAAACTGACAATGCCTTCTCAGAAAGCGCCAGAATAAAATTAACTTCCGCCTTTCTAAGAAAATGATGCATCTTCATAACGAGGCTAAATAAACCCAGTTTTCCGGTCACTGAACGTATTTCATGACTGTAGGGAAAACTGAGGACCCTAGCGTCAGTATCCATATTCTCAATACTCTTTTCTATACTTTTCTCTTGGTATTTACTAGAAGAATTCAAAGCTCCTTAGGTTGGCGATCATTCCTCTCTTTTCATGAACTTAATAAATGAATCGCAATATTACTGTAAGGAGAAATTAGACGCTGGTCACTCTTAGGGTTTAAGGGTCAATGCAGGAAAACCTCCTTTGACAGGCTTGTTATATAACCGTCTTTTACGTTGCAAGTAAAGTTTAACAGAGATATCTTGAGCTGGAAAAGGAACGAATACACCTGATGTATTTACAAAATGAAAACTTACATTCAAAAATGTTGATCACCACTCACTGTCAGTTGCTACATTTCAATGTGGTTATTTTGATTTGTTCTCATTTGAATTATGCCTTTGCTCGTCGTCATTCTTGGAAATGATTTTGGAACTGCTGGATAGATTGGCTAATTAGGTTGTCAAATATCTCAGTAATCTCCTTATATTAGTAGCTGTTAGAGTATTGTTCTAAATCTGGAAACAAGGTCATTTACGAAAAGCCAGCAAATTCTAAAGCCGGAACTTAGAGAAGAATCAAAAGTCCAATCGTCTCCGATGTAAGCTGAACTCGTTTGAGGATTCATTCCAAACGGCAGAGCAAAGGGAATAAAACCTATCATATTCATGAATTTTCCTCCATATATGCCAACGACAACCACGTTCTATCATCATTATCACGCGCCTCTTCTTATCAAATATACTGGCAACCAGATCAACAATAACGATGCAAAAATAAGTGATTTCGTTTGGTTGGTGTAGTCTAAATGATAAGGTAAATTCTCAGAAAATGGTCAACCCAAAAATGCAAATGGTGATCCCTACTTTGAATATAAAAAAAGTTTAGGCTTAGGATTGGCTAATTTACATATCATCGGATAAAACCGCTGCCATTGACGATGATAACGATCAGTAATCAGACCCAATCTGCACAAATCCAGTGATTAAGCGCATATATTTGTATTGGTCCAGCCTGTATGCGGAACTGTAATATCTTCACTTCCAATTATTTCTTATTTTGCATTCACATAGCGTGGCGTAGCTAGAGTCCATTCGGTTCGGCAATTTGCGGACTGTTTATCGAAAGAACCATAGAAGTCGTGCTGTTGAGTTGCTACACGAGTTGATCTTAAAATTATGGTTGTTTTCAGTACATAAGATTTTATTTTGCAAATACTTTTTATGGGGCTTGTCTTGCTTAGGCTGCCAGCCTGGCAGTTCTTTGGCTTCTCTTTCTATCAAGAACAAGCAAAAAAAAAAAAAATAAAACCACAGACCTTTGTGGTATAGATCGAGTAAATAGCGTAAGTAAGTACTAACCTTTGTGGACCTGACGAAAAGCACAGGAAGAATAAGGATATTTTCGCGCAGGTGAGGAATAAATCACTTTCATTCAATCGGTGTCTCCATCGGCTTATCCATGAATGTAACGACTTCTTCCTCACACGTTTTGTGACCAAACTTGGACAGTATCCACCAGTTATTACAGGAAAAACATAAGAAAAGCAACCGTCGTTAGTCTATGAACGGACAAAACAAAGACAAAACTTTACCTCAAACGAATGAAAACTAAACACCGAGTTAGAGGAGGTACAACGGAAAATAAGCAGATATTTAGAAAAAACCGCGAATTGAAATAATTTTCAAAGTCAAAGCTTTTTTATCGCAAGTGTGACAGCCTTTAAAGGTTGTTAAGTGAAGTTTGGACAAAGTTTAGACGTATGGCACGTCTTTAAAGTCATTTATAAATTTCATAAGCGTTCTTTTAAAAAATGTAACAATCGCTTTTGTGTGTGAGAGTGTTAAGAATATCTAAATACTTCATGAGAGGATGAATAGATAGATTCCTAAAGATGATTATGTACATAATTAAGACGATTGGAAACCGTGGGCGTCAGGGAAGACACATGGAAGGGTTGTGGTAAAAACAGTGTAGGTTGAAAATGACTGAGAATGTGTTGGCAGAAGATAAGTATGGGAAGTCTGCGTTATCAAAATTCCTTTTCCTTTTTTTTTTTTTTGAGAAGTCTTCTCTTAAGTTTTCCGTATGTCCGCTTCGAATGAATCGCCTCAAGGCATGCATGTGATGAACTAGTTAATTTACCAAGTAATATAGTGGTATTTTTAAGTAGATGTGACTCCATATGACTCTATTTTTAAGAATAAAGTCATACCGCAAAGGATCGCGTCTCCCTTCCACTCTTGGAAATGAATTAAATATTATTCTCTTGGCTCAGTTCAAGGTATTGGTAAAAAGATGCTGATTTTTTCAGCTAAAAGATTCGAATCTCTTGACGGTTTGTTCAGTTTTTTTTTTCATGGCAATGAGAATTAGGAGAGAAATGAGGCGTGCAAACATGGAAGTAAACAGAGATGTAGGTGATCGTGTACAAAAGATTCGTGAAAGTTTCGCTTCTTTGTTTAGTCCACAACGGGGAGAAACTAAAGCTCGACATGGAGCAGAAGAGGACGATTTTGTGATGTTGCATTTTTAAAGATCAAAATACAAAATTCGAAATTACAATAAAAACTGAAAATCTTCACCTCTAAATAAGTGGGAAATCTTTTTCCTTTTCGCTTTTATAAGCTTGCTCGATCGCTTATTTCGGATGTTTCCTTCTATATGCGCGTACAGAGCGACGGTTGTAAATAGTGAAGCGCTGACAGGTCAGCAATGGCTAGTTATTCAAACTAATTTATCTGACATTAGTGGCCGTACGTGTCCTGCATACAATATCAACTCATGTGCTAAGACGCACGTGACTGCATGTAACACATTTTGTCGCACGGAAGCTAGTGCTAAGTATTTGTTTTCTGCAAATTACTTTAAAGTGAATTCTTTTATGATGTTTTTATGTTTGGAGTTGTGATAAAATTTATGGTTGAGTCTCCCCTCTGGGTATTAAAAACAAACGAAAAAACTCCATTAGATTCTTTTTTTTTTTTTTAATAATTTATCTCTGAGTCAGTGATGTCACAGCTTAGCATAATGAAACAGTTTGAAAGATGATCAAACATCACGTTTGCTTTTTATTGCGTTTTTTTTTTTCGCATAGAAGCCTTGAAAATCTCGTTTTTTAGCGATAACTTTTTTTTTAATTAAGTTTTTTTCAAGGGTTTTTTTTTTTAAAGGTAAGTTTACGATTTAGATTCTGAGAAAAGTCAGTAAGATTTAAACAGTAACAGACAAGTTTACAGTTTGCAATTAGAGCGCTCCATTAAATGCAGCAGTTAACAAAACGAGGTTGAATTAAAGAAGAGATGGTAGCGAAACTAGATCAACTACACGTGCTGATCGCAACAACTTTGATAATTTCTAATTTTTCTTCCAACTAAATGCATATCAGCCACAACACAGCACCTGGTGGAGACTCGGAAAATTCAAGAATTCTAGGTTTTTGGATTGAACGTGAGGTCTAGGATCCCCCACAGTTTACCTGATTCAATCAAGAACTTGATGAAGAGCAGATTGACAGGGTAGAGACACAATAACGACCAAGATATTTAGATGACATCGAGTTGGTATTGTGATTTTGAAGAAATTCTCTCCACTACATTTGCTAAGTAAGAAAATGGTTGTCAGCATTTGGGAGAATTTTTAAGTCGTGGACCAGACACGTTCGACATTTAAAAAAAGAAAGTGAGTGTTCGCTGAAACGGATGTATTATGGACTTCAGAAAATATTTCTTTTAAATATTTTAAAACTCGTTGCTTGAGATCCATGCGGATGTAAACAAAGCAACCGTGGGTATGATTTATTTCTTATTCAAGCTTAGGGGTTGAATATTCCACCTGAAGATCTGAAAAAATTGTTTTTTTTCTCCTGATGTCTCTCTGGGGTGAAATATTTGAAAAATCTGTTATCTCCAACAGATTGTGAATTATCAAGAGAGAATACCCTGTGTTGAAATACCCAATTTGGTCTTCCGGAAGCACGAGATCACCGGCACTAAATAATGTAAGAACATAGTGTTTAAGCTCTGAAAATCATGCAGTTTCTTTAAATTGATTTGAAGGCCAACTTTAACATTATTTTTACCGTAAAATGATACAACAATCTTTGTGAGAGTGAGATCAGTGAGAGACAACCATGAATGACGTTATTGGGTCGTATGAGACTAAACAAGATACATGTAATTACATTTTCCTTATCTTTCCGTGAGGATTACCCGGTTTTAAAATGTTCAAGAACCTATAGTGGATGTGAAATGAGTCACAAAGACTGTCATTGATTTTCTGACAGTCATTTTGTAATATGTTCTGCGGATATGAGTTAGCAGGAATACTGGAGTATTCCTTGCAAGGGACACGGGGAGGGGGGGACCTAACTCCTAGTATAAAATTTGTGGGCTTTGCATGGCAAGAGCCTGAATTTTCCCTGGAAAACTATTTTTAGATCTATAAAACAAGAACTATTGTCTACCTCAACTTGAATTTTGCACCGGGTAACTGAGCGGTTGAAAGTCGAACGCGTAATTTCGGTAAGGATCGGTGAGGAAAGACTTCTTACAGGATACAGTGTGAAAATCCATGGATTAGACGGCTCATCTAATCAATAGGAAAAGACTTAAAAGGATTTCACTTAATCAGAACTAAGCAAGAATAAAGTAAATATACTTAGGTGCTTTAAACATTAACCCTTTGAATTTTCTATTTACTCGTATTGAACAAGACACCATGTCGCTCTTAATGAACTAAAAAAAAATACGTGCTCATATTATGTAAAGGGGTCACTGAGCGCTTCTTCCTAATTTTAGTGCCAAACACATGTTTTCAGACACCATGTGTCACCGAGCGCTTCTTCCTAATTTCAGTGCCAAACACATATATTGCCAGACAAAGGTTGATATTTCAGACCGTTTCAAACAATTTGGACTTGGATACGTGAGGTATGCAGCTCGTTAGATGTTGGCAAAGGTCACGTTTACAAGTCTGAGACTGTCTGAACAGCTCCAAGCCATCGTTCCGGTCACAAGTTATGTTATTGAAAACCAGCTTTTGTCCTGAAAGACCTTTAAATCCATCTTTTTAAAGGCGTCGAACCAACGATCAGCATTAATATGCGTTGTTTTTCTTTTGGTCTGAATTTCCTGTAGTGAAAGGGTTACGATCGAAACTTTTTGGTCACGTTCAAGTACCTCGGAGCTGAAACTATAGGAGCTTGTTCGCGAAAGCTACTTAACTCCCTGCCAGTGTCACGTCTGTGAGTGTATCAATAGATGAAGGAGATAATTTGAATAAAATAGCATAACAAGCTCAAAATGGACATTATTAAGTTTAAATCGTTTGCAGGCCCTCTCGGTCTATGGTTAATTTTTTTTTCCACATTTTTTATTGCCATTTTGAAAATAAAAAAGTGTTTACAAGACTCTCAGTATACTCTATTTACATTTGTAAGCTATTATTAATTATAAATTACATTTATATTTTTAAACAATTTCTATAATTATATTTGTAAACTATTATTTATTATAAATAAGTGCCATCTATATAATAACCACTTAGCCTGAAATTGTTTCTGCGTATTGTTTTTAACAGCAATGTATTTCTCAGTTCTATATTTGACGTCTACTTGTTTTAAGAAAACTTCACATTCTGGAATTTTATCTTGTTTTCGACTTTGCCATATATGCAATTTTGCAAGAGTTATAAGATAATTCAATAACTCACATTTTTCTAATTTACCGATATATACATCTTGCAACGTGAATTTTTCCCTTTTACCTGAAAGTACAAACCAGAAGTTTTCAAAGTTTTCCCAAAAGAGAAGAGTAAAAGGACATTCGTAGAATAAGTGATAGATGGTTTCTGTTTCCACTTTGCAGAACGTACAGGTATCGTGTAGAACATAACCTATCTTAGCTAGTCGCTTATTAGTAAAAACGATATCATCCAACAGTTTTAACTGAAAGCTTCTAATAAAGGTTTCCGATGAAACTGACAGCAAATTGAGAAAAACCTTTGACACAGTAATATCATCTAAGTCAAAGTCATTTTTCAATTTAGTGAAGCCCCTTGATACTATTCCCTTTTTTGCAATGAGGAATTCGTAAAACATTACATAGCACAGGATCAAACGCTTTTTCCCCCGCCGGTCTATGGTTACTTAGTAATTTTCCGATCCCTGCTGAGGCGAGGATTAACACAAACTGTCTGTGCGTATTCTGTGATATGTGTTAACCCATCGAATAAAAGATTTATAAATTCACTTCAACATTTTATATAGATTCACTATTATTTCATTTTTTAATAGTCATTGGTGTTTTCAGTTTTGCAATGCTTCCACCGCATTATCTAAGAGTCGTTTAGATAACACGGTTAAGTAAGGTGGCTCTGAATTGTGTTAACCGTGAAGATTTCTCGTGTTGTAATTCAGTGATTTGAAACCATTCAGGTCGCTGAGCTCATTTTTGTTTTACAGGTGCTCAAAGGGGTTTGATAAGGTTATTTTAAGAGGCTGTAATGTTTCTAGGTAACCTTTAGTGGGTTATCAACCAGGGGAACGTTTTGCAAGATTCCTCCTCCCTGGAGATTCCTACACTTTGGCTGACTGATTTAACAATCTCCGTGGCTGACCCAGCCCTCCACAAACAAACAGGAAGTAGATGTCACACTTCTGGTTCTGTTCATATAATACAGTTTTCTTTATCGGTAACAGAATGTTGAAAAAGACATGGTTTAGAGCGGGGGTAAGCCTGAAATTCGCTCGAAAATTCAGTTTCTGTTTTGCTTGATATTTGTTACTCTTGGTTTTTCACTTAACCATGGAGAAATAAATTTATCGATTGCCCTTTGTTATGATTTATGAGAAATTTTGAAATTTCCACTCTTGTTAAATGACGTGGTTACTATTGCAAAGACGAAAACTTTTTTTTTGATCAGTTTAACCTTTTATTATGGCATTCAGTCGCCCAACAGGCAGGATTGAACCCGGCATACTTTATGTAGTGTTATTTAATGTAGTTTACGGACTAACATTATGGGATGGATTGCGAGGTTATTGTGCAGTGTTCGCAGAGCTTCGAAACGTGTTTAGATCATAAAGAAATTGTCGAAAATGGTTGGAGATAGAGCTAGATCCGTTTACAGTACGTATAGGAAGGGCCCTACCTAGTGTTTTCTAAAAATAATAAAATTGTCATAAACTGTCATCTACAGGAATACTAATTTTTTTTTAATTTTGCGGAAGGACTGACGCTTTCCAGTTCAGACTTCAAATCCCTTTCAAAGGATACTAATAAAGTCCAAATCCGCTACTATGGCGCTGAAGTTCCATGAGTTTATTTTCCATTCGCTCCATTATCCCATCGACTAATTTCCTATAGTTTGGCAAAAGGATTTCATCGCGCTTTGAGTGACTATTAAGTTCCTGGCGGCTTAGATTACCTGCATTTTTGATGCATTCCTCTTGCAACCTCTCCAGATTGTATGACTGTGCAGTAACAAGAAGATCTAAGCACTGAGATGAGTGTTGCTGGCGTGGCCAACGTAACTTATGAATTAGGAAGTCTTCGCATTTCTCGGTGAGCTTCTCTATCATATATTCCCTTGCAAGATCCAACAGGAACGAGTAGTTCTCGTCATCGATCTCTTTGGCGGACGTTGGATAAATTGCCAGCAACATTTCTCTTATTTGGCTCGCTATCTTCCCCGGAAGTGGCACTTCTTCAGCTGTTTTTTCCCTGAAGCCTGAGGTAAACATTTTCGAAAAAGTTGGCGACCACATCGACAAGATACTTCGGTGAACATGAAATCTTTCCTCTTCCACCTTCAAAACTACATCGCTGAAATGCCATGGTTGTGAAAAGTCAAGCTGATTGTTTGTTAAATCTTCTTTTCCCTCTTCTTCTTCCGTTTTCCGAGAGGAGAGCATCATTTGTTGCCGAGAATCCGTCTGTTGTTTACAGCACCGTGCTTTCAATTACTTCCGTGATTTCTCGAAACCAGTCACGTCACGACTCGCGCACGCGCAGTAAGAATGTAATGAAGGGGCTTTGAAGGATTGCATGAGCATGGTATGGAGTTTTGGTTTGTCTGCTTTATTTTTGTTTGTTTGTTTGTTTTATTAACTAAAACCACAAGAATCAAAACAAGAGCATTAATCTCAATTTGCACAACCATCGATATTAAGGCAGTGCAAAAATAAACGACTGAAAACGCCATCACTAAGATCCCAGGGTCGGAAAAAGTCGATCAGATTTTGGGGCAATCTTGACCGCCATATATATCTAGCCATTCTTAAAGCAAGTTGGAGATACCTTACACCGGAGACGTTTACGACTCTTTAAACAGAACGCGCTAATAAGACGGTAGCGGGTTTTTGGAGTAGACTCTCAACGCTTCCAAAATTTCTCGGAAGTAACAGGAAAATCGTTGTCAATGACACGAAGTACCGCAACATAACATTTCACAGGGTTCCACTACCTCAATAGGATGACTGAAGTTTCCGAACAATAAAATATTTTCCGATGATCAGGCGAAGAAAAAGACGTGACTTAAATGAAAACATGGCAGCCTGTTTTATTCTTTGTGCCTGGCAAAGGAAGTTGCTCATAGGGGAGGGACGGAGAGGTACTTTTATCTCCTCTTGATCAAGAAAAAAATATATATGAATAAATGAAAAAAACCTGCTATCCTCACAAGTACTGGAGAGACACTCCTCCCTTCCACCTGTCTACCCTCCTCAGTTTTCTAGCCTGCGGCGCGAGCTCTCGGGATAAATAATGGCTCCAAATATAAGTGGTTGGCATGACTCATATGGTTGGATAAACAACATGTAAAATGATCTTTTTCGCAAGAATAAAATGAAAAATTTTATTTTTATGTATCTTTTTGAAAAATAAACCCAGACCGCTGGTTCGATTATTTGCAAGCCTTAAGCTTTATTAGGCCTTTTGATTTCTATTCACGTATATTGGCTGGGTCATTCGATGTTGGGAACTGATCATGAAAAAAAAGTAAACTCTGATTGCGCGCTTCAGAAACGGTGAAAAAACTTTATTCGAATGAAACAAAGTCGCAAATTTTCTATGCAAGGATTTAAAATTCATCATGATGTAGTGATGATGATAATCGATTGATTGGAACTTTTGAAGATAATAAAGTGAAATTTTCAAATCAAGTCAAAGGAATTGAGATAGATTATGAAAAATATAACTCGCTTCCAACTACAGTAGCTCGCCCTTCTGATATATACTTTTGGCTTTGGTATGAGAGTCTTGTCTGGTATTCTAATAACTTGTTATTGCGGCCGACTCGGAGGAAAAAACTGTGATCAGAGGCCGATTTTTGGTAAAAATTTGTTTTACACGCGCAACCAGTGTGGCTTTTCGATATTTACCGAGGCGACAATTAATTACCCATTTTTACAGTGCTTGACACAGGTAAAAATGTTAAAACAGTAGCTTACCTTTCAGGTGATGTTGCATGCAGGTTGACTATTTTTACGTTGAAAATATCGCCTCTTTCTTAGTGATAACCTTGTGTTATGCTAATAGCTCCTTTTAATCCTCCTGTGGAACAAAAGGCGTTATCAAAAACAGGTTTTGGCCATATTTATTTTACATTAATGACAAGTGTACGTGAGTTGAATAGAATATAGACGATTTTTAGGCGACTTCATATTGCTTATCTGTACTGTCAGACGCTTTACTAAAATATCGATTGTGTTGATAACGACATTTATATGTAAAATAAAACGATGAGGATTGTTGTAATAATCCGTGATTCAGTTGCCATTAAAAAAATTTGATTTTTTTTTGCCTTAAAACAGCTCGGAAAACTGAGGTCTTCAAAGCGTTGAAAACGTACTCACGATCCAGCTTACGATAGTTTGAAGATGGCCTGATAGTATTTAACAGATATGTCACTATCTGTGTTTTCGATATAGCGCTACTGTTTCACAGACTGTCTAAGCACCGCATTATTATGCCTAAATTGTGTGATGTCTCACAATAGGATCCAATTAAGTTTTGACTTCGATTTTCCCCTTGCCAGTAAATAATCCGTCGATGGTGGAAACGTCGAGCTTGATGTCTTGCTGTTAAAAAAAAAAAAAAAAAAAAAAAAAAAAAAGATTGGTAATCCCTTTGTGTGTATGTTATTCGGGATTACAGTGATTTTGAGTGAACCTTGATGCCTGTTCGTCAGTAATTCATTTGCCAAAATGAGGGGGTTCTTTCTACAACCATATTACAAGTAAGCAAAATTTTATCTTTTCCCTTCCACTTTGAATCGTGAAGGGCATATTTCAACTCTATTGATCTGAAGATGGCTGTTATCATCCAAATTTTACAGGAAAAAAGCCAGACACGGACAGGTGTTAAGGACGTTCCGGATGGAGCTTTGCCCACCTTTTGTTCATAGGATATATAGTAGTTTGTGTTAATTTTGCTTTGGGCGGTAATCAGGAAAGGCGCACACCGCCACAGGGAGGAAAATTTTCGCAATTATCTCTCAACTGAGTTTTCTTCCTTATTTTTCATTAACACTGACCCAAACATGTTTCGCGCGCTTAAAAAAAGGAAATTGATTCAATATTTGCTCCTCTTTAAAATTAAACCAGAGAACAACTTAAATTTGAACAAGGCTAATTGGTTAGACTTTGAAACTATTAAAACCGCACACCCAAACAAACATGCGTACAGGTCCAACTTTATGGAAGGAGCCCAAGAACTAGGAGTTTGGGTAGTTGCCTAGTTCCCAGTCTCATTCACCAATGTAAAGGTTTAATATGCAGCTGCCAGAATCATTTTTTGAGGTCTCAAATGCCAATTGTGTTAAGTTCTGTGTAAACGTAAACGTGGCTCGTCCAGTGCACGAACGAACGGAGGAGAATGAACTCGGTGAAATTTGAGCATAAATCCACGATGGGGATGACTACCAAGCCAGCCTTGAAATTTCTGGGTTCGACTAGCTCGGAATCAACCAGCGGCAATTAACACAAAGAAAATTTTTATTTCGATAGCGATTTTCAGCACGTTCCGAAATCAGTTGTGTCATCCGTCCTCCTATGATCTCAGGGTGCAAATCATCTTTTAAGAAGAGGGACTGGGTAGTAATAAAATTAACATATCAGACATAGTTTGATGCTACTCTGGTTTGCAGATTTAATGAATGTAACCGAAGAAGTTACAATTCATAGACCCAACGTTTCGACACTCCTGTCTAGTGCCTTCATCAGGGGTGATCTAAGCGCTGCAACAAGAGGTCCTATTATATGATCACTAATTAGCGGCCTTTTTTCTGACGAGGTGTAAATAGGCGCCAAGAAGCAAACCGCCATCGTCACGATTTAAAAGAGCGTGGGCGGAGTTAATATGCCAAGCCTCCAAACAAAGGCGCTGGTGGTAACGCCGATTAGTGGTGATAATTTTAGAATTATCCCACCCAATTGTATGGTTAGTTAGGCATGTGTGCTCCCATAAAGCTAAAATTTCCTTTTTGCAAAGGAAAGCCATTTTTGGTGCTCTTTCACTGGCGTTTGGTTGACCAGAGTAGCATCAAACTATGTCTGATTGTCCACCTTGTTGCCGTGTGAACTTTAATATATTTTAAATTAACATATATCTGTATGTTTGGCTCTTTCGTGCACTGTCACACTAAGGCGAAGACGTAAAGGGCAAACCTTTCGCGCTTGACTCCTCGCTCCTCGCACTTCAGGCCTGATTTGGGGGACTCACCACCGATAAAGATGACCCCCTCGCGCTGAGTTTGACTAACGAGGCGGACAAGGGTAGTTTCTCAGAGGAGTGTCAGAACTTCCTTAGCTATGCATCAGTGGTGCTATCATTATTTCTGTCAAAATAAGTTTACGTGTTGCAAGATGACTTCTCGGTTGTGCTACTAGAAAATGCTTAAGTGCTACGTTTCGTGTCAGAAGCTGAAAACGCCAGAATTGAAGGACGTGTAACCAACGATAGGCGGCAAAATTGTCGACACATTGACCTTTTTCAACCTTTCTATTACTTCAGTTTTATCTCTTTTGCACGTGTTAAGTTAACCTATTCGCCCCTTTCCTCGCCAACCCCCAATAAAAACGATGTTGTATTGCCTTGTATCGTAATTCCATGAAGTTTTAGCTACATACAGGCAACATTGAATGGTGAAGGGGGGGAGGGGGGCGTCTTGTCAATGACTCAGAGCGTGGTAGAAACGGGAGAGTTATTCTACCCATAGATAGAAATGTTTAAACATGGTGTGTCAGCTTATTTGTCACTGATTGAAGACATTTATTTTGCCTGTTGGTTCTTTCACAAATTAGCATATATGGCTAAAAAGCCATATAGCTAGAAATTTAAGATGATTTAAGTAATCTCTCTAGACCCAACTTTTGAGAGAAATTTTATGATATAATTTTCTTCCCTATTTTGAATTATCAAACGCCAGAAATGAACCTCATACATTTATTTGCCTCTACGGTTATATCTCTTTGTTTCACGACTTTTATATTGCTTCTCTTTCTCCTATTCAAGCCAAACTGCAGACCGTGTGGAGCGAAAGCCTGGAAACTGGTGAGCTAAGGTATTCTATTAATTCACCCTGCCACCAAATTTTGAAAACAATCATATTTATTGAATTATCTCTTCATTTGAAAGACATCTTAAGCGCTGGAAAAAATATTGTATTTGAACTACCAACCTTCTACAATTAAACCACTATATTTAACATGTTCAACCGCTAATGTATATTCTTAAATATACACTACACAGGTGACTAGTGCCTTTTAGGGTTCTGTAATTATTGGCAAGTACTAATCACCTCCGAGCGATTTAGGTAAATTATTAATTGGTGAATATTATGCCGTTGATTTTTAACTAAAATTGATAATGTATCGTGACGTTGAATTCTATGTCAGATATTGGATTATTGAAAACATCTGCGCGACCACTTTTGGACACAGCCATTATCAGCTTCAACTTAAAACAATCGAGGGTCACTTGCCAGTCAGTTTATAAGCTTCTTTTACGTGAGTCCCTGCACGACATTCCAGCAGTATTAGCTGCGGAAAACCTCTAAATAACGAAACAATTCCTTGAGACACACCTTTGGCCCCGCATTCTGAGTAGTTCTGTGCTTAAGTAATTCCGTTGTGGGTAAGAGTTGAACGAAGAAAAGGGTGAAAGTCAAAGGTGAACCAGAATAATAAAATAATATCCTTAAAAGAAATTAGAGACAATGTTTTGGCGGTTTCACGTTTCCTGGATTGTTACTTCTGGAATGTTTTTTTACTTAACCGAGTCATGATTTCTTGTGTTCCCTTTGAAGTCTAAGAAGATAGAACACATCACGTTTATCGAAAAATAGTGAGATTTCTCATTTGTTATTTTGCCATTCCTATCCTTAGACCGTTGAATAAAATCCTGTTGATAACTTGTTTGCCGCTATGATGAAAATTATGACTATGCATATTCACTTCAGCGCATGTCAACAACGGTGTGTTTACTTGGTTTGGTCTGGAAGTTGGACGCTTGAGGTTCTTTAATCGAGATTTAGCCGAATCACTACGGTAAGTGTTTAACTCGAATTTCTCAACCAATTTACAGAACTTTCACCCATTGGTTAGCTTGCTTCTTCTAGTGAAAATGTTGTCATTTTCACGTAAATGACAATTTGTGATGGCTTGTTCCTTTGAAAGATCTGTGCCAAGCCGAGTTGGGCCAGATACTCGCAAATTTCGTCGCAAATTTATACAAAAGCAACTTCTGTTTGAACTCAGAAACCTGCGCAGTGGTCATAATATTTTCAATCAGTCCTCTTTCAACGCGAAGTGAAGATAATTCACGACATGTTAACTTCCCTTGTAAAATCATTCATTCTAAATGACCGAGGAGGAGAGGGGGGTGGGGAGTGACAGGAGTGATTGCTACACCGTCCAAAGGCGAATGCTATTGTGGTTTTACATCGTCAAAGGCTGAATACAAATATTTACTATAAAGGGTAGACATACTGTCACAATAGTTATCAAAAATTTTCAAACGCATTTAAAGAACGAGGGACAGCCATAGGGTTCGCTCTTCATGTCTTAAAGACCTTCCTCTTTCATTTCAGTCAAGAGTTCAATCCCCCTCTGCCTCCCCTTCCCCCTGCTTAAGCTGAGTTAAGAATAGCTTTTCCGGCATTAATATTGTTTATGGCTCAATTTATATCTACCAATAAAACTTCGTACACGTACCTATCTTTTTCCACTGCTTGTCCTATAAAACGTATCAGGATACAATTTCAAACCAAACCACTGTCTCTGGAGGACATTTTTCTTTGAAAAAGGCTCTGAAATATCATCTTTCACTTTCTATCTAAGCCAAGTTCAGCATTCGTCTGACTTGTATTATGAGATGGATTGTTAATTGTTACTAACCGTGCAGATTCATGTCACGTTTAAAAGCCATGAAAGTGAGAAGTACCTTTTAATCTGCGATATAATTTGAAAACAACCTTCCAGTTAAGTTGTTTTGACGAAATCGATCGATGCCGCGCAATACAACGACCTGAGCAGTTCAAAGTTGAACAAGCGTGCTCGGAAGCATGCACAGTTGTTTTGCATCGAAAATCGAAATATGTCATAAGCTCGTGCCAACTTTATATGTATATATCACTTGATAACGAGTTTGTATTTCCTTTACTGCTTCCACATTGCAAGTCATCTTTTCATTGCTTAGCTAAATTCTTTTTAAAAAATTGTGCGAAGTGCTAGATTTATAATCCCTTGTTATCTATAATGTTTTTTTCGTTTAATTCATCTAACCTATACTTCCCAACCGCGCGCCCTGGCAATTGAAGTGGAACCTCTGAAAGGAATCGTTTTAAACCTTGTAATACTTTTATTTCAAGATTGGGTGGAATTATTTTCTTACATATCTGCTACAATAATAAAAATAAGAAAGTACCACATTTTAAACCAACATCATTCGCCGAAATATTTCCCAATACAACCCTGTCACGCTCTCTATTGTTTAAACTTAATGACATAAAAATGACAACTTGATATCTAACCAAAACTTGAACAACATGCTGAAATTGTATTCAAAGTTGTTCCATGACATTGCCTTGAATCATTCCACGGGAAAATTCCACGGTTAAAGTTTTTCCTCTTTTATATCTATTTTAAATTCGACGGAAGAAAATGGTTTTAGGAGTGATTTATTTTTTCAACAATACGTCATGTAAATCGTGAAACTACGCACGAACAAAACCGCCCACCTGTAGACTAGTTCCCAGTCTTTCTATCCCAACATGCGTTCGAAATTTAAAATTAAAAATTAGTCGCAGAGCAAGTTGCCAAAGACAAATGCTAGCGATAACCTTCTGAGCTCTCAGAAAAAAATATATTTTGGAAAGCCGCCATGTATTCCAAGCCATTTGCACAGAGAAATAATATGAGGAAACATATAGTTATAAGCGATTCCAGACGAAGAAGTTTGGTTTTAAGGCCGGCTACGTTGACTCAGGAAGTCCTATGCCGGGCAAACCAACGTACACGACTCCTTCTTCAAGCAAGGATGTCTCATGGTATGTTAATAACTAAATTCTCCTTGTTTTGAGTATTACTCTAGATTAAGGGGTCGTCTCAATGCTTTACTTGGGCTAAAATTGTAATACGTAAGATTTTTTTCAAAAATATTCCAAATACAGCTTGTGTTTTGTCTCTAAAATATATTCGGTTCGCTCGCAAGAAATTTTGGTCACAAGAAGCGCTTGTTGAATTAAAGGAGATTGCATCGTATCCCAACCATAATTTTTTCTTATTTTGATAAATTTGTCTCTTTTATAGTTCGATCCATGAGGTTACGTAACTGTAATAGAGCGATTCAGCCAAGCGAAGATGTTTCAATTTCCTCGACCGGCCGGTTCCCAAAATGGCACACATCAATCAAACTAGCACCCGGCCCATATTGGGATCAAAAAATATTTTAATTGTGACTTAAGGTTTTTGTGTTAATTTTCCTGAGTCTCGTTGTCTTCCAACCGTAGAGTTCAGAAAAGCTGCTTTATAACAAAATAAAGGCATTTCTAAGGGAAATCATTTCGTAAAAGACGTGAACACTTCACGCCAGGGCTATGTTTCAATATTCCGCTTTCCTTGTGTTGCATACAGTCCAGCTCGAGTTTTCAACAGAAAACACCGACACATGCGCTTAACAAAATTTATTTAGAAAACAGATATTGAATTTGCTAAAAAGGTATTTTTTTTAGAAAAAAGATAGGAAACAGTTACTACCGACTAGTCGTCTAAATATATCAGCTTTTGAGTTTATTTTCTGCTCATTAGAACCAAACACTCATGGATTAACGGATCTGCTTTTATTCCAATTTTAAATCACTACACAGGATCATAAAAATCTCGAAGGCCGCTGTTTGGATATAATAATTCACAACGTCGCGAAAATGCCTGTGACAATTTTTAATATATTCAATGTCACGTCTGTTCTTTTTTTGTTTGTTTGTTTTATCTACTGGTTACAGCTTACCGCTATTATATACTTCAGGAAGTTCTAAAATAACTTTCTTCAGAACTGACCCCGCCACGGCTCTTAGCCCATATAACAAAGAAAAACTTGGTAAACGTGCTCAGATGCATACATCGGGCGAACGGGCTTTCTCTGGCCAAGCTGTGACCTCTTCCGCTCAATATCCTCATTTAAAAACCGAAGCCATAATTTTTTGTTTATCTCAGATCATGCTGTTGTGATATTTCATTTTTCATTCGTCAGAATATCTGATCTTCCAGCTGTGTTAAAAATAAAAAAAAAATCTTTAAAGTGATTGATTTTCCTTATTACTATGGGTTTTGTTTCATGTCGCGCTATAGAATTCAGCTACAAAGTCTGGTACAGCAAATGTCCTCATGTTAATTGTGTCTTTAAAAGCTTTTGATCACCAAAACACACAAGAGTCTAAATTTTTTACGAAGCTGAAGAACGTTTGAAAGGGAAATTTGGATAGACGTGCCTCACACCCTCCCCTAGAGTAGGCGGTTGTCCCCACAGTGGGGAATAGTTACCGTGCTCTTTCTCATGTCTCTTATGAGTCTCGGTCCCACTCTCTTCGCTTCTCTGAAGTATCCGTCTGTTTCCTCAAGTTTTCATACCATTCTAGTTAGCGCAGACATCTCTATTGCTTTAGTTATCTTGAATATATGAAATTACCAAGTAATTCTGCACTATTTCGGTGTCAAACTAAGAGAAAAAAGAGACAGTTTTGTGAAGAAAGTCGAGAAAATAAAATGAATATGGGGATAATTGTGTTGTGTTAGCGCTCATATCAATTCGAACTTAATTTTAAGAAGGATTTGTTGATTGAAAGCAAATTTTCAGGAGTTGTAACTGCAGAACATGGCGGTATATTTTGCTGAAGTCCTGAAACTACAATGAGGATAAGGTTCAGTGAAACTCGACGAACCAGGAACGAATGAAGGTCAAATGCAATACGCCAACTGACCCGGCATAATTGCCTTATAACAAAGAGATATAACCATTGTTATCTTTTGAAGCAAACGACAACAGTCTTTAGAATTCAAGTAGGCGTTCGAGGTTATTCAATGGGAGCGAAAGATAAAAGCTAACTGGTTTTCATTTTCCGCGCCCGACATCATATCAAATGAACAATTATTTCTAAGACAAGTTATTATTAGTATGATGAAGTGCAAGATGTGTGACGCTTGATAATCGGAGGAGCTTGATTTACGTGAGTCACTGCACGTTTTCTCATGAAGGAAGATTAATAAGGTAACTTAGCCAGCAATTATACTTAGCAGCCCACGCACTGCATGGAAGGTTTTTATCGCATTTTTCGCTTTGCCTTGAATTTAAAGTTTTTTTTTTCGCCCATAAAAACTGATAAATTGATATTTCAACCAGAAAGAATATTCCTTCCTGAGTGAGTTTTTATGCTACTCATATGTGAGTTTTTATGCTCTCACATTAAACTCCTCAAATCTTAGCTCCCTCTCTGAAAGGATCAGATAAGCCTGGAAGTTTTGGACATATTTTTAAGTCATTAAAACTGTTTATCCTGCTTTTAAAACTAAATTTTGCATTTTCTTTCATCGGATAATTTGCGAAGTCCTTTAAACTCTTAAAAAACAAAGGAGAAAGGTTAAGGAGTCGATCGCATATATCATCTCTCTTGCCTGCATTTAAATAAGTGCGGTAGAAGCACGCGATCTCAAAGGCTCAATCAAACAAATTTTCCATGTGAATTTGGCAAATAATGTTATAATTCTGTCTAGATTGATTTACAGTAACTTTTAAAAGCCCTAATTTTAAGTTTCTTAAAGAATTTGGACCGGAAAATTCATAATTTCACATCTGTCAGCTTCCGTTCTTCTTTCCACACCGTGTGAATTCACACGTCTTTAGGGCTTATTTTGGTTCCCAGTCTGTGCGCGACTACGCCGCGGTGTTTTCTTTGAGATCTTAAACTGTGAATTTATGGACATTAGCCTCAGAGCTTTTTGACCTCAATTGGTGCAACTCATTTTGCGTAAAGGAGGAAATCATGATGTATGCCAAGTTACTGTTACAGAGGAACAACACTAAAACGCCAAGCGTTAGTAGACATCCAAGCACAAGTCAATATATTTTCAAACCTAGTTTAAATTCTCTGATTCGACAAGGAGTTCTGTCGCGGAAAAATCGCTTCGCCCAACTTTTCCCTCAAGCAAGGACTTCCTCTGGTACGTTAGAATATCATATTTTTAACGAAATGCAGCTTTACTCGGCATTATTGCAAAATGAAACTAGAAGCTCTTTGTAGTTTTAATGAGCTAAATCGGATCGAGCAAGCATACTTTAACCAGAACCACATAGTAAAGTTGTTTATGTACCAGCCATGAGGTACTATCACGAGAAATGAGTCGTGAAAACAATTTTAAAGCATAGTATTCAGTTTCTTTTAGCTTTTTCTGTTTTTCAGTGTTCAAAATGTGGGTCGAAAAACTGGAAGCAGGAAATATGATGGGAGGAGAACAGGGTGTAGTTTCTATTTCGTCACTTTAAGAACATTCGCTCTTTCTCGTCAGGAAAGCGGAAGATATCCGCGGCAAATAATTGATCCTTTCTTATTTCAGAAGTAACGAGTGCAGCGAGGTATTTTATGATTTTCCAGCTCGCTTCTCAGTTTAAGGAGGCTCCATAGGATTTCTTGACCGCTATATATCTGTGTGAGAACATAGCGCGAGCTTTGTAAGTGTCAACGTGCAAAACAATCATGGCGGCGAGATATAATCGCACAATTGCTATCTGAAAAGGTGTGTCAAGAGCAGTTGAACACTTTAAAGTTTTTATGTCATTGAATCTAGGGTTGCCAGCAACTGCACTCCTAATATTCATAGACCTTCTTCGCCTGAAAAAGAAGTCAACCGAAAAGAAAACACTGTGGGAAAGATTACCAAAAGGCGACAGATTCGAAAGTTTAATCATGCTCAGATACAGATCTTGGCAAAGTGCTATTCCATTGCGTAATGTTTTGCGACAAAGGAAGTAAGGATCTTTCGAGCAAGATTTATCGCGTTTCCTTCGGTGGAATTTCGTAAGATTTGCTGAATCGTTAAACATATTTGTGCGCTTCCTAGTTCCTGCTTTAACTATAAATTCATAAGACCAAATTTGAGATAGAGGAAGAAAACACAAAACTGCAAATAACGAGCGAACTACCTCTGTAACCCCTATTTTTTCTGCTTTTCAATGATCGGCAAAGCAAATTTCACTTATTGTTAAAATTTTGAGAGATTTCACCGAAGCAAATTGAAGAAAAACAAAGGCAGAGCCAAATTATCACTGGCGAGCGCCTTACTTCTTGGTGCCTTAACTTAGTAACGAAATTCATATTGATGATATTTACTACAGAAAACGATAGTTCGAAACTCGCTCATCGCTTTTTGATGGCTTTTAGTTACCTTGAAAAGAAAAAAACAAAACATTTCCAAGAGAAACATTACAGTTGCGCGCGCGCCAACACTGAGCAAAAACCCCATAGAGCCTCTTAAGTCAGCAGCAACTTTACGATCTATTCTCATCAATCTTCCTAGATTACCCAGGTCTACTCGTCTTCAGTTTTAAAACAAGCTTCTGTTATTACAAATCCTGATATAAAGCAAAGGTTCCTACAAAGATGAAAAAATTGAAAAGAAAAATTGATAGTAAAACTTAAGAAAAGTAGAAAAGTGGAGGTTGTATCAAGTCGTATAAAAAAGTGAGACGCTATAACCAAGTTATTTATATCTCCACCTCTAATGATTTTCGCGTTTACAAAGAACTGAAAAAACTCAATTCACCAACCTATGTCGAAAGGGAACAAAATTATTTCATTTCTTTTTAAAGCGGGGGGCGATGAGAAAAATACAAAAATAATAAAAACTAAATAAAGGGAGTAATGATTGATTTATCACCAAATTCTCTTGCAAAAGTTATGTGAAAAGTGTGGTAGCCAGTGAAGAGATTTGATGTTTAGATCTGTTGAGTAAAATTGTTAAAATTATTGCCATTAATGTTCCCTCTTGAAAGTATCTT